GATGCAAACAATTGGCCAGGTATTCTCAAGTTGAAAAAGTGTGTGTTTAAGTGTGAATCCTGATTCGGGCGAAATTTCGCGCAAAATAAGCGATTTTCATGACCAGTGCCAGGTAGCATAATAAAATATTTAACAAGCAGAGTTTATTCAAGCCTCTAGCGTAACTGATCTCAAAACGACAAAAGGCCTAAAGCACTGCTAGCAAGCGAGTCATGCTATGCGTTTGTTGCGTTTCATCATTTAACGAGGCACAATACATTTTTGTTCCATGAGATGCAAACAATTGACCGGGTATTCTCAAGTTTAGCAAAGCGTTTTTTCGAGTCTTTCAACTTCTTTTAAACTTCCGAATTTTACTACATTGACGATTTACGCTCTAACCTAGAAAAATTATTACTGACCATAGTTTGTAATTAAAACCTCCGTCGTTCCTTTTTGTTCTTTGCAACCCCGAAAAAAAATTCAAAAGTGTTTCATAATAAACAAAAATCCTCAAACCTCGATGATCTTGAACTCGTGTATTTTTCTTTTTTGTCTTTCTTTCTTCGGTTTCTTGAGCTCCTGAAGATGCATTTTCAGTAATTTTTTGTAAGTTTCGCTGGAGGTTAAGTAAGTTTAAAATGGAACAGAAAGTCAATTGAATCATTACAATGTTACACTTACCTTTCCCTCTCCGCCTTTTGCTTTTTCTTGTGCTTCCCCATAGATTAAGATTGAAGTATCGAGATTTAGAGAAAGAGAAAATCGAATAAACAAATGATACATCAATATTGAAAAAGACACTGCAAATTTTCTGTAATATTGCGGCTTGTGTCCCTCCACGTGCTCTGAGTGACTGGTGCAGTTTTGACAGTTCCTGGCTTTCGTCTGGCTTCTAATTACAACTATGCTTCCACGGCCATCAGGAGAATATTACTTTTTGATGTACTCATTATGATTTATGGAAAATTAATATTTATTTTTGATTTTGGTCAGTCGCGAGTCAGAAGTGCCAGAAAGTTCGAAAGAGTCGAAAAGGAAAAGAGTATTAAGTGTCAAGTATTAAGGTCGATACCTCGACCCTGGATGCCAGATAAAAGTATCGCAGTTTCCGGTGCCAAAGCTTGCCGTGCGCCCAATTTGCTTTAAAAACCGGTGGGGAAAGCGGGCAAAAGCAAAGCATCCAAGTTGTCAACAGTTAGATTATTTTCACAGAAATTTACAAATTCCTCGATTAAAAGCAAAACTAAAGCGTATCTTTTACAAGGTCACCTTCCAACTGTTCTTATGACAACCAGTAAGTTAATCTCACAGGACGTCCTAGCGGCCATATCATTATTTAGAGGTGTTCCAAAACAATCAAATAGCGGCTATATTGATGTTCCAAGCAAATCCTGTGGGATTTGAAAGCTCACTTTGAGCACCGATTGATAACGTGAGTGAACTGCACTCTACAGTGGTTGCATGGATGCAGGTGAAAGCCGCTAATACGATTTGAAATGCATTTTCAGCAAGTGGATTCTGGATTCCAAAAGCTGGATTCTGGATTCCAGAGCCCAGTATTCCGGATTCCACAAGCAAAAATTTCCTGGATTCCGGCATCCGGATTACCTTACATGGGGCTATGTCTTAACTCGAAATCGTTTAGGTAAAATTTCCGCACAGTCCCTTACTACAGTATGCACTCAATTATTGGATAGAGAAAACAATGACAAAAACAATACATTGCCATTAGGTAAACAGATTTGTTTTATTTTACAATAGTATAGGGCTGTGCGGAAATTTTACCATCCGTTCAAAACATCAATAATGTCATCGAAGGTTTTCAGCTTCTGAAAATACCGCTGACTAGCATGCGTGTTGATCGCCTACATCGTCCCTTGGTTCGGGACCCCATTAATTGTCAATTCCCGCCCTCGAACTGGTCCCTAACTAACCCTGAATAAATTCTGAGACAGGCAGTGCTGAGGAGTTTTAATAGAGTGAAGGGCTGTAAAATTAACTGGAGCTCCGCTTTTACGCTTAGTAAAATCTAGTTACTATTCTCAGGAAAGCAGACTGGTTAATCAATTCGTGGAAAATCGCAATCGCAGAAAATGTCGAGATTTGGCATATTCGAAAATAAGGAGTAAGGAGGTATCATACAGCCGCTACAATTATTAAGTTATTATTATTTTTTGGAGAAAAAGCCTGGTTTTGTAAACCTTTTTTATTAAAGAATAAACTATGTTTTACGAAATTGAAAGAGAAATAAAGTTTGTGTTCCAAGTTTGACCCGGATAATACTGCACCTATATACTTCTATTTTTACGTCACATATTTGATATCATGTTTGATATCAAATCAAATCATGTTTGATATCAAATCAAACACTGGACTCCGCTCACATGTTTAAGGCGTGAAATGATTAAAAGTCATGAGCTTTTATTATCACTTTCACGAATGAGGGAGTCTTCGAGCGCGTGAGCGACTGATGGTATCGAAAATGAAAGAATGATATATATGGAAAATTTTCAATTAAACATATCCTCAAAAAGGGAACATAGTTATTTTGTTTGATGGTTTAACATGCAATACGCGGAAATTGCAATTTCAAAAGTATTTTTTCTTTAATAGCACCGCAAGGGCAAGTCTAAGTTTGAATTGTTGTTCCTCAGAGGAACTTGTCGTCGAACACATCATGCTAGCCGATCGAAAAGAAAGGCTACGCGGACGAGGCAGGTTTAGATGTTTCTTTTGTGATACTGGCGAACTGGTCGGTTTTACAAAGAATGTGATCGACCCAACCAAGTTATACCAACGACTGGGAAATGCTACTCGTGTAATAAAGATGATATTTCACTGTAAATTTTCATATTTACTCGACACGGTTATATACATACGAATGATACAAGAAGCAAAATATGATTTTTGGTTTCGATTATGAAGGGATAGTAGTTTACGAATAAATAATTTTACGAGCCGGAAAATTTGGAATGTCTAGTTTTTTGGCCAATTATTTATTTTTATTCATTTGCTTCTTTTAGTTGAGGAAACTAGACCCTGTGAGCAGGGTAACTGGGATACCTGGATGGTACTGGATCCGTGGAATCAAGTGTAGTGATACTACGCGTGTCGGAATAGTATACTGAAATAGTGAGCTCAAGTCTGGCCAAGGGCATACACCTGTCTCAAAACATAGGCATGCTATGCATGCAAGAGTTATTTTTTTGTAAGGTGGGTGGATTACTTGAAACATTATGAGTGGTCTACATTCTTACAAAAGGAAAGAAGATTATTAACGCGGGAAAGAATGAAAATGTCGAATTACCTCACACACAGGTATTTTGTGGTAGATTATGTGTGTTGTGCGAATAAATGTAACCAAAAATAAACTGTATTGGTGCCACGGATACCTGTTAGTACAAAATGCAGACAGCAGACTGCAGACCGGATACAAAATATAGACTGCAGAGTGGGTACAAAATGCAGACTGAGAATCTGAAGAGTTTTTACGTCTGGTGTATAATAACATGTCATCTTACAGCTTACCGAGCGTCACGCAATCGCTTTTCCGCGATCAGCCTTCACGATTATTTGCACTATTGTGGAAAATTTCTGGCCCATTTCTTGATGAAAATCGATCGTAATATAATTTCAAGCCTTCAACATAGTCTTCTTACTTTGCGCGCGAGTTGGTTGGTGTGATGTCTGTACAGATTTTACCAATGTAATAAAAGTAGATGACGTGAATAATAGTGATGGTAAAGCAAGCTTAAAACGGCAACAATCGCCAGAAACTACGATGGATACACAGGGTATGAGTAAGTTTTATTGATTTTACGAGAAAAATCTTCATATTTCGAAATATTTATCGTTGTAAATCGACCATATTTCGTTCCCTATACTATTCTATATAACGTGTTCAAATTTTCAACGGTTCCTAGCATAACTTACTCTGAGTCACACAACGCGTGACGCGTTCGTGAATTAATCGTTGGCTCTTTCTCGAGACGTGACCTTGGGTCGCCTGTGACAAGACAATTGCGTAAACAATACTTAACATAATAACATTATACACAAAAACCACGGGATTTTAGATCATGTATTTATTAAAAAGAATATCCATACAACTACAATGAAAACAAACATAAGATTCAACTTTCTGATCGTGAAATTAATACCATTCGCACTGTTATCGTAGCTACGTTCCCTGGCATCAAGTGAATCCAGCATGGCGTCTTTCTTCACAAGCAGTTTGCATCCATTTGAATTTTGTTCTTCAGTCTCACGGTAGTAGTGTTGTTCAATAGATTACATAGAGTATATGCAGTTTGGTTTCAGATTTCAGATTTTGCTTTTCACAACGAGTTTACGTTTTCAACTAAGACATTGGCATACTTGGTATACAAGACATACAAGGCATTCAATGCTTTCATGGCTTTCAAGCGTTCGCGATTCGGTCCGTTCCAAAATTACCGCTCAATAACATCTTATTGTGTAGATTGGCCGCGAACAATACGACTTGTGTATGCGTCTATAAGTATTTCGAGCGTTTGCGCCATAATCCTCCAGGTGATCGTAATCCAAACTCGTTGAAATACAAAACGACTGACATAAGAGTTTATGGGCAAAAATCTCGTGTTCGTCATGTGACCCGGCCCTGTCCATGCATGACAACGTCAATCATCATCAAGATAGCACGCGTGATCAGCATGTGAACACCTCATTGGATCACAGTTAGTTGTCATGGTGTTGAGGGCCCAATGACCTCTGGGTACTATTGCGCAATTTTTCCATTTTGTGGCGGAGGAAAAAAAAAAAAAGACGACAAAAAAACAAAGGCATTTTATGACTGGGCTACCACAGGTATCCCAGTAATAACAGGGTTTTTATTAAAGTGCGTCACTATTTTATGAGAGACAGGATGTAAGATTTGGCTTATTTTGGCTGATGACATTCCCAACCGCTTCCGGTATGTTAATGATAAGGACACTTCATAGCTTATCCTATAAAGTACTTATTGGATATACAGAGGCTGCGGCCAGAGTCCATGTTGGGCGAATTTTTCTTCATACTTCCTTGTTTATTCCTTCGTTGGAAACCGTGGTAAACACACTTCTGGATGATTACAGATTATGGAGTCGTTTTCAGTGATATGGTGTTCGTTTCTGCTCGTTAATGTTCAGTTCTTCGTCTGGAAAGTAGGTGAGTATCTTCTCTTTATCATAAAAATCGTTCTACGGTTTGAGAATGAAACGTTCTGTTTCAACAGCTTTAGTTCACAGCTCAAGCTACTCTGTGTAAACTGCCATACAATTTGTGTAGTTACATATGGTCGCCGAACTCAAAAAGAAAAAAAGTGATTTATGCACGTTTGATTATTACTATTACCGATTAAGTCCGTGTCAAGTGAGACGAATTTGTGAACGCCTGCATATCTAGAAATATCAAGTTGATATTTTTAATATTCGATTGAACTGTAAACGTAAGTTTGATTGCAGCGCCGAGAATGACTCCTCTTCCAAACTTTACCCTTTCATCCTAACCTCAGCTTGCTCAAATTTTCTCTTGAATTTCTATCAAAAGGGGTATTGAAGTGTGAGCCAAGAAACATTTTCTTTTATTTCGTAATTGAGGAGTAAAATAACAATAAATTATTGAGAAGAATCAGGAGCTGGATGAATAAGGAAATGAATATCTGCTGGTCTGTGCTGTTTTTCAGCTCTATCTACCAAGGCTAATGATATTTTCCTTTAGATATTAATACAAGACTCTTGGAAGCCTTCATTTGTGTAAATATTGTGATACATCTGTGTGCACTTACATTTTTCTTTTCTTCTATAGTACTTAAAATGTACCAGACATTTTAGACTTATGCATAATGATAAATGTGTTGGTTTTTGAGCTTGAGAGAGTAGCTTTGTGTGTGAAAGCAGATTGCAAACTTAATTGCTTGACTTAAGAAAAGATTTCTTACTCACTAATGTCAAACCCTTTTTATGGTTTCTTTTATTTCATCGTTTTTTTTTATTTATTCAGTCCACGAAACATTACTTACACTACACAAGCAGCCACTTCTTTAAATTTTTATAGCTCTTTACCAAAACTGACATGCACTAAGTTAAACATAGTGTAAATTATTACACTTATAATTTAAATCATGTGACCACATTACTATAATTGTATAACCAATAACCTCAATGTAGTGTGAAAATATGCACAGATATTTCTTCATGGACATTATCTGCTTTAAGATTAACAAAATCAAACAGCTAACGGGTTGGTGTGGAATGCTCACTCTTCCTTGTTCTGTGGCATAACTTTATGAACAATCAGACATGTCCCTTTTCTTTAAAACCATGAAATGCTTTCTCATCTTGAATTAAAAGTTGAACAAAAACTTATCATAGTGTACACATGGTTTGGAAATTGGGAATATCCATGGATACTCCTCTGTTTTTATTGGGTAGTTTTCAGTCACGTGATGCATCTGGACCAATTGCTGACAAGCAAAAATATTTGATGAATTATAAACATATACACAATAGAAGCAATATATGTTATTTGCCGGCTGGGAGGTCCGTATGGTGAAAAACTGTGATCGAGTGATCACAGTTTTTCACCATACAGACCGACCCTTAGCCAGTAAATAACATATTTATTTTTTTTAAACTTGACGAAATTCTTTCCAAAAGAACCCGAATGATTTAGGCCTGCAAATACGGCAAGATCTTCCATAAACTGAACAATTTTTTAGCGAGTAAATGATAGTTAAAATAGAGGTGATGCAAATTAAAGAGAGATGCCTCACCAAAAGATTTTCATAAGGATAAAGGTGATTTAAAAGGCTTCCTAACAAAACTTTGAAACATTATTTTTCAAGTATCTGTCACAATCTGACACCTGTCAATTAGAGAGCGCGTAAGAAAAGAAAAAGCGCAAGAACATTTGAAAACAACGGAACTAGTTTGGCAAGGACTGTCACACATGCCAATGTTTTCTTAAAAAACATTCAATGATCTAACGGAAAGTATTATTCACTCTCATCAACGATTCATTCATGTACGAAGATTTACCTCTGTTCACTAAGTAAACGGTGAGGAAAGTAATAGTGAGTAAATTCAAATTTTTTATTTTGAAGTTGTGAGAGTTTGCTCGTTTGTTTGATGCGATGGCATGTGTAAATCTGGTCTTTCCTCCACAAAAACTAATGAATGGCACACTCTAATGAGACACAAGGGGATTTAATACGGCCTTTTCTCAATAATTCCTTCAGTTTCTGTAGTACAATTTACGGTACAAATGTCTAAATTGAACGGACTCGGAAAGACTCACCGTATATTTCGTATATTTCTTGTAAAACTGAATTTAAAACTTTGCTCGCTCTTTCACTACGAACAAATTGTTTGAGAAAATTCAGATATTAAATGAATGAAGTTCCTTCATTCAGTTTAACTGTAACTAAATACCTCACGTTTTAACTTTCTAGGTACTTTTTGTGAACGATTAAAATTAATTGAAGAAGGTTTTGAGGTTGCTAGTCAACCAACGTAATGACACTATTGCTTAAACAAATTCTTTCTGAAACCAATATTTTTCTGTCAACCACAGTGATTTGAGAGAGAGAAAAGAGAGGATTCACAAGTTATTTATCGGCTTGAGGTAGTGACCGACATGTTTGCTTAAAAATACTGCCCAGCTGGAAAAACGAGATATATGTATGAAAAATGGCAATGAAATTTGGGATGTACTCGGCAACTCACGAAAGCATTACCGTGGCCCATGGGCAGAGATAGGAAAATACTGACCGGGTTGAGAACCAATCAGATTGCAGGATTCTTTACCATGCCCTCTGAAAAAAAAATAAGTTACCTTACTGGTTATGGGGTTTACAAAGGGAGAAAATCTCAAGAAACAAAACGAAAAAAGAGAAAAAAATTAAAGAATCGATAAGATGACTGTGTTGTGATTGTCAAACACTGAAATTTTTATAAAATGTTTAATATTAATGGGGGAACATGTTAGTGCTATGATTGGAAGAAAGTTAGCCAAAAAGTTGAAGGTGTTCAGAATTACAGATGTTCATGTTGTATATACCACTTCTTCCTTTTGAAGATTTTGTATGTTTCTATAGTGCCTGATATTTCTTATTTTTAATTTTTTTTTAGATGGTTTGGTTCCTTTTTGCCTGCATTTATATTTCATTGTAATTCTTATAACATTTGGAGGTTTTGGAGGAATTTTCATCAGTTTTATTAGTTTCATCATCAAGTAAGAGGCAAACCTTGCTAAATAAAATGTCAACTAATTTGTGGTATTTTTTGCTGCCATAGGCCATTTGAAGCATCTTTTTACTAATCTAGATGCATATTGCAATCTGCAACTGAATAAAAAAAAAAAAGGAAGCTGAAATTTCAAATGTAAATTTACACTGAAGTTTACCAAGCGGTAGGAAGACAAACATGTTTACCGAACTGGGGGTGTGTCTTCTAGCCAAGTGCGCCTTATAACCGAATAACTATGGTACCTATTATTTCCAAAATTTTATGTTTTCCTCTCACTGATTGTTTGCTTGGTATAATTATACTGGTAGATTGTGCTAAATGTTTCTTCATGTGGTTGCAATTTTCTTGTGAACTGTTAACAGACAGAGGTTATATTGACTAGCTAAAACATGCTTATTGATTGTTTCAGTAAAAATTTTGAATATGAAGGTAGCAAAGAGGGTGTATCTACATGTATATAGCAGAAGCCCAAACTTGCAGTTCTTAAATTGCATGAATCAAAGTCAAGAACCTTCTATTTCCAAGTAATGTAAATGGTGAAGGTTGTCTTTTACTTGCACCTTCAGCTGTACACATACTCCCTGTGATCACTTCTTTAATGCATATTCGCAGCTGAACACAAAACTATTTTTGCCTTCAAAACAATTGTACTGTAATTATCAGTTTCTTGTACTATAAGCTTATACTTCTAAGATTAAATATAAATTGGATGCTTCTTTGCATCATTTGCAAACATTTATGTTTGCAAAGGAACTTTAAAATAAAATTAAAGTTCCTTTGCAAACATAAATGTTGATTGATCCTGTTAATACTTTATAATTATGTTATTCTTGTATCAGTAATCTCATTTCAAATAACAAATCGATATACATGCTTTGCAATGCCTAAACTTTTTCAACAACACAATGTCTATAATTATAATTAATTGCATAAGAATATCGTTCTTCTGAACAATCTCACACACAATAACAATGCTGTGGATGTACCTTAAATGATAATTATGTAAAGCCACTAAGAAGGACTAAATCTTCTTAGCAAGAATGTTTAAAGAAACTCAATTCTTTTTTTTGGAAGGCGGCATCATAAGACTTCTGATATGATAGGTTAACTTTATTTGAGACAAGTAATTTGATTTGAGTCAAATAAAGTCCCATTAAATCAATTTAACATCATTTTGAACCCTCCTTAGCCATTTAAGGAATATTTTCTATCTGTCAAGTTGTTGCAAATCAACTTCCAGTATGATGGTTTGACCTTTAAGGGATGACTCATTTGATTCAAGTCAAATTAAGTCAATTCTACAGCATTTTCAACCATCCGTTGTAGCAAGTTGCAGAATACTTTTTAAGTGTCTTGCAAATCAACTTCAGGTAGGACAGGTCAACATCTTGAAACAAGTTGAATTGAGGCAATTTGACAATATTCTCAAATAAACCTCTTAGCCACCTGTAAAATATTTTGTAAGTGTCTTGAAATTGACCTCCAGCATGGCAGGTCGACTTTTAAGGGGTCAAATCATCTGATTCTAATCGAATCAAGGCAGTATGCTACTTTTGCTAATACTGGTGTCCAGATTAATGCTGGGATTAGCCAAGCCGGTGAATTAATAGTGGCAGTAAATTAGTGAGAGCTGCACATACAAAAACCATGTCATCTAGCGTGTCCTTTAGAGTCAGATGCACCAAAGACTGGAAAATTCAGAATCATTTCAGACACTGAATGGCACGTTCAACATGAATCCTAGCATTTGCGATTGCCTGACCCTGAAGAACCTTTGCCTTGGTAAACTGTGCATGACCTGTGGTAAATGGAGGCATTTAAAGTTTAACTTGCTTTGTTTACATGTTTAGTTTTACTTGTTTAGTTTACATGTACATAATCTTACCAAGTGTTTGGATGAGTCATGGCTCTTGTAACTGGAGTATGTCAGTTTCTGTGCCTCTGCCATGGAGGATTTGTGAACATATCTCTCTGTGCAGTCAGTGATTGAGCAAACCCTGGGCAACAGTTTAAAGGCTTTAGGGTAGAATTTTGTTACATTTTCCTGGCTTGGCCAGTTATTCAAACCTTGAAATTCACTTGCTAAGAAAGGAATCTAATTTGATAAAACTGCGGACACATTACTTGCTGAAGTCTTAAATATGTAGGCTAAGTCTCTTTCAGACAAATGTTTTTGTAAGCGGCATAATGTCAAGAAAAATTCCTGTTCAACTGTTGACTTTCTTTTTCCTCCAAGCTTACATTTACATACTGGTAAGTCCTTTAATAACTTTTAATTGTTTGTGACCTTTTCCCTTTGAAATATTGCAACTTTTGCAATTTGGGTCTTATCTTTGATATGAGAAACTGAAACATTCCATAACTTTGAAAGCCAGTATATATTTAAATATGATGTTCAGTTTCTTTGATGTCTTATATCAAAAGATTTTTTTTCATTTCATCAATTGTGGCTTTTGCCTTCTTGAGTTGTTGCTGTAGATCAGACACTCTTTTTTGAAGTTCTAGACAGGAAGGGCAATGAGGATCTGATTCCTGTTCACCTTGAGGACATTTCTGTCCATGAATGCCAACTGGCAGAGCATAGGTATGATCTTCGCATGATTGGTAGAGATCCTTTCAAGTCAATTAGTGGACATTTTGAAACTTCCCTAGCAGCAACCTGCAGAATATATTGCAAATGGACTTCCAGTATAACAGGTAGACTTCAACTGAGACGAGTCGTTTGATACCAGTCGAATCAAGTAGATTCCACAACATCTCTAGCCCTCCTTTTTAGCCACATGAGGAATATACTTTAAGTGTCTTGCAAATCAACTTCCAGTATGAGTATGACATTTCCACCTCAAGAGGAACAGTTAATTCAGATTACCTTGATACAGGATGCCATAACCATAAATCAACTTCCAGTAGGTGGATTCAGAGGCTACCTTTGACAAATTGACTCAATTTGGGTGTATCGGACAACCCTTGAGAAATCCAGAATGATGGTAACCATCCAACTGCACATAATAATAAGTTGTATACCTTCAGCAGTCTACATAAACAGTACAAAACAATATCCTGTGTTTATGAAATTTCTGTCTGCAAAATTCATCAAATTTAAACACTGTGGTTCAAATCTTTCTCTGCCTGCACAAGCCAAATTCCACTATTTTCCATTTCTACATGCATGTCATGTTTCACCTCACAGTCCCCTAGTAAATATTTGCATTGTAACACAATGATCTTTGTTTACAAGGTTCCTCTTGCTTCCAGAGTGCATTTTATGTGTGTGAATGCAAGTTTTCCTAATTGATTGAGAATAAAGATATGGGGCAATGAGTAGCCCTAGTTTGCTTTTGTGAGATTGTCACAGGATTGTTTTTGTCTGCTGAAGTGTAAGTAATTGATCCAGCCACCAATGTTTACATAAGATATTTGAATTAAACCAGCCAGCCAAAAAAATTGCATTGTTCTCATTGCTCTTGTTTTACATTGGATCATAAACAATTGAGGTGATTCACAGTATCATGTCATTATGTGCTTTACCTTGATACTTTTTTGTTCACTCAAAAGGTGGCATTTGAAGCAACAATGCAAAGGTTAAACTGTAACTAGTGCTGTCATATTTTGCATAGTTATTTTTATAAGATGATGGCGCCACACTTGGGCAAGTTTGGGACAACTATTTACCATGGTGTCTGCACTTGAGTGAGTGAGTGAGTGAGTGAGTGAGTGAGTGAGTGGTCATATGCATATCAGAGTCCTCATAAAAATTTTCTTACAAGCTTCAAGTACCACAAGTTAAAAATGAACAAATTTTTTATATGGGCAAGCTAAAGTTGCCTTAAGGGTGTACCTGTGAAGAGTATGCCAACAGATGGCTACATGTACCTCAGTGTTTTGCTTTATGAGTAGCAATTATCTTCATAATTACACATACTGTAAATTGGTTTTATCTGTCCAGTAGAGAAGAAGTAGATTGTGTTTTATTGTTGAACTTCATGAGAATTATTTTACTACTGACAATTTTTTACATATTATGTTTGCACATTTGTATGAGTATGAGTACATTGTCAATGTCTATTTTGAATTCATCCCTCTTGGCAAATGGTTGTTTGTGTTTGATTGTCAGTAACATAAAGATATTGCAATGTTCAAACAGATAACCTGGCTCCACTGTATGTTGTATTAACTGGCCACTTTCTTTGTGCTGTAGATGCAACTATTACATGGACTCTGCCCTCTCCACAACGTGGTCCACTCAGTGCTTCAGATGGCACAGCTCGAACAACACTCAAAGTTTTTGATGGTAGATCTCCTGAGTTGCGTTTGGAATGGGACTTTACCTTAGATGGTGTGGTGCTTTCTTTTGTTGCGTGGAATATAGGTACCACTGTCAATATCGGGAGTAAAGCTCCATCTGGAGCTGTTACAGTACTTCCGGCCTTTCAAGGACAATTTAACATCAGTCCTAATGATCGTGCCACGTTGATAATCTACAATACAACAGCTGCTGATGGAGAGAAAATCACATGCAGGGTGGTCGCTGGTATGAATATTTGGGAGGATGTAATTCTAGTAGTCATAAAAGGTGAGTGTACATTTTGTTGGTTTACTCCATATATGCACGTGTATGTGTATGCCTAATTCAACTATCTTTTGAAACATTTTGCTCATTCCACAAGAGAATGTGCATCATAGTTCATGTTGACTGTGTATGCACAACTAGCAGTGCATCTCTCAGGGTGTGAGGAAGATAATCAAATTTTGTGATTGTTTGGGTAATCGTGGAGGATTACACAACTCTTAGAGGTAGCAAATATTTTATAACTGAAAACTGACCCTCCAACAGGAAATGTTATCATACCTTTTATTTATCACATAATTGGGAAATTTTTTCTTGTGGGATAAGCTTCATGATATTTTACAGTAGGGTTTTTTTTTAAGATTGTAGTTTGAAAATTAGAACATTGTAGTTATAGTTTGTAGATTGTAGATTTTATATTGTTGATGAATGAGGAAGAAGCAAATGAAATGGTTTGATGCAATATTTCTTCTACTCTGCCTTGCCATCATTCTCTGGAGTGTTTAAAGGTTGTAAGCAAAATTGTTCTTAAATCTTTTCCCCAGTATTAGCAAAAACATTTCTTCGAATTTTGCAATATTGGGCAATCCAGGTCTCATAAATTATTCCTGTAAACTAATTTTTATTTTACATGTAGTTGGGAAACTTATCTTATCTTAGTCATCTACTGACAATCAAATAGAAGGTAGTAATAATCACAACCTTAATCTAAGAACTAGAAATAATATTACTTTTCTTCCTTAAGCAAACAGAAGAAGGGATAATTCCTTAGACTGCTCCTCATTTTTGTTAACCATTCAGGCTAACATATTTCATATAATTTTTTCATCATACCTAAGCAATCATGGTGTGCAGATATAAGTTGCAAAAATGGAAAAAGTGCTTGTAGAACTGGATTCTGAAAGGAAAAGGGATACCCAAATCCCTGGTGAGAAGAGAAACTCTTCCAGTGTTGCTACACTGTTATTGGAATTACATAAGTGAATGTTTTAGTGACTCTCTTACTTTTTTTATCGACATTCTTCTTTTTTATGGTCGCTTTTATTCTTTTGTGTGGCTACACTGAATTCATACACCTAATAGTGGCTTGGTCACCAAACTCCTTATTGATATAGTGTTCTGCTCCTTATTGATATAGTGTTCTGCTCCTTATTGATATAGTGTTCTGCTCCTTATTGATATAGTGTTCTGCTCCTTATTGATATAGTGTTCTGCTCCTTATTGATATAGTGTTCCATCCCACTTGCTTGAGATCCTCAGTGCATGAAGTCCCCAAAAATTGCAAACAAAAAATTTATCCTTCTTGTACAACTGTATGTATTGTCTGAGACATTAAATTGTCTATTTACCTACAGTATTGTGCAAAAATTTTGCAAACACCTGTCAATGAAATTCGTTGAAATTCCTTGCTTTTTGACAAACTGTGGTCCAAAACCAAATTTGGGCAACATTTTGATGAAGTTTTGAGGCAGTTATTGTTCGGATTCATCTGAAATTTCGTAGATCAATTCAGTGGGAACGTTAGTGAGCCTCAAAAATGTGAGGAACTTTTCGGAGAAAGTAGTGTGTCATTATTCACACAAACACCATATTTGTGAAGGTAAACTACTTCATAACAAAACATATGGACTTCCCCACTATGATCCAGTCTCCAACCAAACTGCCTTGATAGGGACCTTGTTTCGAAGCACTTCTTAATTGGATTAATTTTTCTCAACATTTAGTTGCATTCATGTTGACAATTTTAAACTAAACTAGATGCATATTTGCATTCACCCAGGCTTTCTGTTGAAAATAAACTTTGTTTTTTTTCTCTTGGTATGCAATCCCTAAAGAATCACGTAACAATATAACACCAATGTCAGACCAAAAGAAAACACAAATAAGAATGGCACTGTCAGATTTAAAACTGATAATAATTGATGAACTCTCTGTGGTATAAAATACTTTGCTACTGCACATCCATCAATGATCAGGAGAAATATTGTCAACATCAAACAACTGTCTATTTGCAGGACTTGGCATCATTACGGTAGGTGATATGTATTAACTTCCACCAATTTGAAGAAAATTTGTCTCTGAAGAATATAAAAATAATGTTTACAATTTGTGCCATTCCTGAATACTTTTCAAGATGATAGAGTTGACTACAAATATGACACAAAAGGATGACCAACCATTCACAGAGTTATTGAATAGATTTAGAACAGCTTCACAAATAGAGGGTGATATCCAATGCATTCAGTCAAGGCTAGTGTGTCCTAGAGATACTGACTACCAAGTATTGTATTTTTGGGACAGTTTTTTCTGTATTTCCTGTTTATTTTTCATATCCCTAAATTTTTTTTTTCCAATAATATTTTTTTCTCTGGTGGCTCCATTGCTTTATAGTATTGTTTTTTTTTTCTATATTAATCATCAACTTTTTTCTTTCCTTTCTGTCAACTACTTTACATGAACATATAGCAAACGGTGTTCTGTATTGCCCTAGAGTATATTTCTCTAGTATTTTTCTAATGCCATCAACAAGTGCCATTCCACTTATGTTTTTAGTGTACTGAATAAGGGACGTGTCTCTTTCATTATAAAGCAGGGGGCAATACATATATTTTGATCTTTTTGTGGGTTTAAAGGTACAACTGATACATCACAAAGAAAATGACATAAAAAAACCCCTCTGCATTCACTATTATGTATTATTTCATTCTCAAGAATCAGTTAATAGTCCCTCACTCTCAAACAAATTATCCAAATTTACTTCAGTTTCACAAATATCTACAGTTCTTGGTAGATTAGCTGGTGATTGCTGGTTGTGTTCTAAACTTGATTTATGACACATCTTTTTGCCTTTGTCAACAATGGTGGGTAAGGATGAGTTGTAATTCCAGCAGTTACATGATTTCATAATAGAGTAGCAAAGAGAGTATAGAGCTACAGCACAACTTAGATTGAAGTTTATGGTTTCATTCACACTGTTTTAAGAAACCATCCTATTTTGAATATTCTCAATTTATACACCTCTCACTTCAAATATGTCATTGTTATGTATACTCTGAAAATAATGCACTAAACTATCAAGAGACAGTACTTCGAGAAAAACATATGTACCTTGAGGCTGCCCTCTACCATACAAATTTCTAGCATGGGAATCAAATATTTTGAACCCCATATTACTCTTACAGTAATACACCCTACTGTAATATGAAATTGGTGTGGCTTTCAAATTTGAGCGACTCAAAGGCTCTTTATAAAGATGTAAAGTACTGATATCCTCTATAGCAATTTCTTGGAGAACAGTACTAGAGTAGCTTTCACTGTATTCCAGTTGATAGTCAGTATCAAACACATTTAAAGGAGAACTAAAGCCAAAAATTGAGTTAATTTCTTTCGATAGCCAAAGTGACAAAATTCTCGATTTCAGGCGTTATTTGTGCTAAATGTGTCTTACCTTGGAGAAATATTTCTTTAAAGTTTGTATTTTCGCGCTGTTTCGGCTTTCAAACCGTGGGCACCAATTTTAAATCAGCGGTCTTCCAAAAGAGCCTGTGACGTATGTTATGGGGATCACTTTAGAACGTGTTATCGTTCAGCTAAGTTTTAATACAAATTGCTTCTTCGTCGACCCTTCGTTATGAGCGGAATAGAACCATTTCAGTTCGAACCAGTATATCAGCCTGGAGAAGAACCACCTCAGGAAGAGAGTGTAGGACAGGAGGTAGAAGCCCACGAAGAAGACAATACTTCGAGGATGGGAAACACCGAATGGTGTTTGTGCGGCGCTTGTGCGCTTATGCCGGTGGCAAATGAATGTTACTGCTGCCAAGAACTAGAGGAGCTTAATCAAAAGTTCGACAATTCAGGTTTGTACTTATTATGTGATTATTCTCACGAGTATTTTGTTTGAAGCGACCGCTTCTTTGCTAAGAGTGACAAAAGGTGGACAATTGCAAACTCGATCTTAGTTGTAATTACAATTACAAGGTCTGATGGATGAAAATTATTGAAACAGTGAGGGAAATAAAATGTTAAGACTTTTTTCTTCTTAATAGGTGTTAGATGTATAACAGAACATCCGAAATTTGGTATTGTGTGCTTGGACACGGATGTTTTGAGCACGGCATTGGTTGCAATCCACAATGCGCGGCTCAATCCAATTCCCGACCCTATCGTCAACAGGTAAACTGTCTTTCTTTCTTATTTTGTACGCGTAATTAAGTCAATCGCTTTTGTGACTTTATATCCTCTTGTTCTCTAGAACTTGGCGTTTGGCAGCCTACAGACAATTTACTTGGTGGGCACATGGGGTATTAGGAAAAAACCGGCGGAGAATCGTGCCAGCATGCGTCGTCACGGCCATACGTAAAACATTTCCAGAAGAGAGTGGTAATTACGTGGGGTTTCGAGAAGCAGATCTGGAACTTTGAACTTTATCCTTAATGTCCTTTAATAATGATTAGTAACATATCCTTTGCGTGTATAACATCAGAGGCTCTTCTTTCCTTATGTTACGGTTTCTTTCTAAAATTTGCGTGAAATATACAATTACTTATCGAGGATATGAATTACTAACACATTTCTGCATAGTGATTCAGTCAAAAGCCATGCAGAGCCAAACGAATGTCATCCCTACTGCAGTTATTAAATTATCCACATTGCCAGGGATAGCTGCGTGGCCTGAATGAAATAAACCTCAAACCTAACTTTGATTGCTTTTTGCTACGATGATTGCTTTTATTTTCATTTGATTGTGTTATTGACAAAGTTGTTGTATTTAATTATTCGAAAATCTCGAAGTATGATTAGCAATGACATCTGCTTTAGGAGGCCGGGGTTTGCTGGCAATGTTTCCAGGAATGTGTGGTGCTGTGATTGTTGCACTCCTCTCTTGTGGTTTTAAGCATTTTCTCTCTACAATGGCATTAAGCATTGGCTTGAGATGATAATTGGTTGTCTTCTCAAATATGCGCTTTGCCACCCATTCTTTTGTATTTTTCGGAAACACTACCTTATATTGCAGCTCCCCTTGGCTGGCACCCCTGGATACAGTGGCTTGTTGTCTACCAGTGTTGGCATTATGGTCTAGTGCTGCCAACTGAGTTCGAGCAACCATGCCATTATAAGAGAAGTGCTGCCGTTTGGGTGCATATTTGGTCTGCACACTATGGTACACCTCTAAATTGCCAGTATGACAACTTAGTGTTAGTTGCTGAATGTCCTTCAACAGATTTTTATCGAATACAACCTCCTTCAATGCATTATGAGCAGAGGAGCCAGGCCTAAGCCACCTTTTAGTTCTTGCGATAGCTGGAGGGATTGGTTGGTGGGCACATTCCTCATACAGGTCAGCTGAATCCCAGGAGTGGATATTGGCAGTGTGATAGACAATGGATATCCACTTCTCTCTCAACATCTCCTTGTCTCCCCCACATGTTTTGGCACACCACCAAAGGTGGTTTGAGATGGATCTGATCCAGAGAGAGAGATCAGCACATTCTTTCTTCTTTGCTTTTTCAGTTAACTTTTTAGTTATACTCTTGGAAAGGTGCCACACATCAAATTGATGATCAACTTCAGGGAAATTTCTTTTCATGTCAGCCCTAATGCCCACATGACGGTCAGTTGCAACAACCATAATTTTCCCCCCTTTTTCATAGATGTTTTCCATACAGCGTTTAAAACCCTCTCTTTCCATGGCATTGCTATTATTTACTTCACTGACCTGAACAACCTTGAAGTCAACAATCTTATCAGTTTTCTGATCAATCATGGTATATGTCCCATATTTTGCATTATGGCCAGGACTGTCACAACGCCCATCCCCTGAAAGCCACAGATCTCGCCCCCCTAGCTCAGAAAAAGTGGAATTTTGTTCTTTAAGCCAGAACTCATTGATTACAGGTAATAAGTACTTGTTTTGAATATTATAAAATGTTTTCTCACTGAAAATTTTCAAATTTAAGATATCTGCCAAAGATGCTACTTTTGTAAAGGTAGAGCCACTGAGCAAAATAGATGATGACAACAACAAATTTCCAGCTGCCATCCCCTCAAGCATTGGCTGGCTTTGCCAGGAGTACTTATGATTATTCATACATTCTAGGGTGACAAATAGTTGGCTTCCTTGTGTGGATTGGTTCCTCTTAATCACAACTGCACCACACTCAGGACAGTACTTAAACAATTTAAATAGCTCTTGTTTAAATACAATGTATTTGGTATCATCCTGTGGCTTTTCGCATTTTGTTTCCCCTTGGTGTTCGTTGTCTGATCCTGACAAGTTCGAATCATCTGAATCTTCCTGTTTTGTGGGAAGGTAGATGCTATCTTTTCTTGGAGAGACTTCTGGGGAAGCAGCAGCTTCAGTTGCTTCTTCTTTGTTATCTTCAATTTCAGGAAGGAATACCTCTTCAGTCTGGGTGCTGCTTTCTGAAACATCAACCTCGACTTGGGTGTCAGTAGATTTCATCATTAAATGGAGACCACGAAGATTGACTTGGATCCCAAAATCCACACCCTTGTTTGGCAAATTCACCTGCACTGCTTGTGACTCAACCAACGTGCTTTTAGGCCCTAAATCATGTGGGAATGGATATAATGGGCTGTCTGAGGTTGATGTACTTGCTCCACAATTCACTACATCAACAGGTGCAGGCTGTTCTAAAGCTGAAGCTGCATGTTCTTCGATTCCACAACTAGGTTGTGCAGTGATAGAGGCTATATACTATAACAGAAAAAATATTAACTCTGTTATGGTATGGGTTAGTGACCCTTTGAGAGAATAAAAAATTTAGGTATGGGGGATAAACTATGCTACTATGTGGTTACACAATGATTCAATGGGATTTTCTTGGAAAATATAACACCTGACCCTGCCCTCCTTTGGTTGAAAGCCTGCACTGGTTTCAACTTAGAATTTCCAGTTGTATTAAGTTTTTATTCACATAGAAGTAAAGAAGGTTAAAAGAATTCATTATTTAAAGAATAATATCCACAACTTATATATAGTCTATTTGTACTAATTTTGTTCACCTGCTAGTTAACAAGGGACAGGTATAATGTTCCTAGAATTAAAGAATAATCACTTTATTCAATAAACGATACCAGCAAATTCCGATTCGTCGACTCGGAGAGACCGAGAACCAGAGGACGACCTCCTAAGTATTACCACCCTCTCCTTCAGAAAGAAAGGGAGTTGGAAACTCTCGTTCGAAAGATTCTACCGAAATCCATTGCTGACGCTCTCCGCCCGGAAGGGTCCAGACTCGCACACTTGTATGGCTTGCCGAAGACACATAAAGAACAGTTGGCCGTGCGGCCAATACTCTCTGCTACTAACACCTACAATTACTCGCTAGCGAAATGGCTTGACGACAAATTGAAACCCCTGTCGTGCAAACCAATATACAGTGACAGACACATTCCGCTTTGCTGATGAAGTACGAGGCTTCGAGATCAAGAACGGCGAAATTTTAGTTTCCTATGACGTCACCTCATTGTTTACAAATGTACCATTGGAGGAAACAATACAGATCTTAGCTGAAAAAGCCTTTGCCCAGGATTGGTTCAACGAGACGCACAGCTTGAACATCTCTAAAGCGGACCTAATCGACCTCCTCCGAGCAGCTACGAAAAACCAGCTTTTCCAGTTTGACGGTGCTTTATATGAGCAGACAGATGGAGTCGCTATGGGTTCTCCCCTTGGACCGTTGCTGGCTAACGTCTTCATGTGCTCGATTGAGGAAAACCTCGAACAACACGGTCAACTTCCGCGCTATTACCGGAGGTACGTCGATGACACCCTGACCGTAATGCCTGATAGGGTGACCGCTGGCCAGTTTCTAGACACCCTTAACTCTACCCATCCCTCCCTCCAGTTTACCATGGAAGTCGAACGGGAAGGATCCCTTCCCTTTCTAGGAACTGAACTGCTTAACCGTGCACCAAAGATTGAGAGCAAGGTCTACATCAAAAGAACCAACACGGGTCTCCTTCTGCATTTCCAGAGTCATGTTGACATTAAGTACAAGCGCAGCCTAGTTAACACCATGGTGGATCGCGCTTATCGATTATCTTCTAATTGGTCTTTCTTCTCCGAGGAATGTGACCGCCTTAGAGGGGTTTTTCATAACTTGAAATACCCAAAGCCACTGGTTGAAACTACAATTAAGCGGTTCGTTGAGAGAAGGATTTCATCTGCAGATCCCTGTCCATCACCAGACGTACCATCGGAGATTGTGAGATTAGTGTTACCCTTCAAGGACCAGTCGTCAGCTAATCATGTTAAACAACAACTGAACAGTCTAAGCTCGAAGTTAAGCGTGACTGTCCAACCAGTGTTCGTTAGCCCTAAGCTCGATCAACAGCTTAAGCAACACGAAATTAAGCCCCCTATTGTTAACCAACAATGTATCGTTTATGAATTTAAATGTAACCTGTGTGATGCAGGGTATGTGGGCTATACTCGTGGTCACTTACACGAGCGCGTAGAAGGGCACACAAGGAAATCATCTTCTATCTACAAACACTACCACCTCCAGCACAATAGTGAAATGCCTGAACGCTTGATCGAGCAATTCAACGTCATCGCGAAATGTAACGGCAAATTTGATTGCCTTGTTAATGAAATGTTGTATATTCGCATGCGTAAGCCAACACTGAACGTGCAAACGGATTCCATCCGCGCCAAGGTGTTTGTTTAAGCCGTTCATTCTAATTTATGCTATTCTTGTACCTTTCCTTATTTGCATGTTTTTAAACTAGTCTCTTGATAATGGAGTCACGATGACCCCGAAACGTCGAGTAATAAATCTTTCCTGGTTTTTTCTATGCCTTTGCTTTAGCAAATCCCTGCTGATCAAATCACTTTATTCTGAAACAATTTAATTTTGTTTACCTATTGGTCAAAAATTTTCAGGAGAGACGAAGTACAAAGATTACTCAGAAAAAAAAAAACATGAAACTAGAAGGAATTCCATGGCAGGATATTGTTTTGCGTAAGGAGAAGAAATACTTTTTTGTGAAAATTTAATGTTTCTCAATGGAACCTATTCGGGTGATATCCCTTAAGATATAAATTGTTATTGCCCTCAAACTGCATTCACCTTTTAATTTTTTTTTATCAATCATGCATAAATGATGAGCAGCTTCAAGAGTTTGCAACAACCCAAGCTTTGCAACAACCCAACCCAGTTACAAGAGAGTAATTCGCGATTCACTTACTTCTTTTCTGACTTTCTCTTCTGAACGTTTCTCCGATGAAAGTCGAGGTCTTTTTGATGGTCTCCTATGCGAAAAAACCGTGGGTATTGCACCTGGTTTTAGCGTAGATCTGCGTTTCAAACCAAGAATTTCTGCTTTCAAGTCTCGTTCGTAGCAGTCAGGTGTAAAATGTTCTGAGCACAGCCTGGAGTTTTTCGAAACGACCAGATCCGCTCGTGAGATCTTTGCCAGCCACTGTGATCGTAGAGCTTCATCCCTCGGAAAGCAATGGTAGGATATACCAGTTGTGTACCTCGAGTCGTTGTTACAATCGAACGCCGCGCAGTATACCATTTTTTAGCTCGAAAGTAATCGAAGTAAATAAAGCAACGAGGGCTACTCAACCGCCAAGAACAGATAGAAGAATAAACTCAAACAACTCGGGCTTCCGTATTTGTACATCCTTTCTTGCGTAAGCCAAGAATTTGACCCATTATAGAGAACTTATAAACCAAAGTTCAAAACGAATTTCAAAATTTTATTTCCTTTTGGACTTCTTGCGACATTGTTAACAGCGTGCGTTATCGTACATGCCATTGCAAAATCCAGACTACAAACGCGTTGCAAACTAATGTTAAAAAAGGTAAATAACAAAATATGGGAAACAGAATGGAAGATGAAATATCTTAAATTACCAGTATGTAAGAAAAATTAAAGTGGAGACCCTATTCCGAAAACATCGAGGTCAATCCAAGTATAAAAGATGCGCCGCACATGATCTGGACACGTAACTACGTTTCAGAGACACAGGGTTACGAAAGCCAAAATATTTTTCTCTTACACAATCCCTGGATAGAAGACCAATTTTCTTATATGAGAGGCGCTTGAATCATTTTTTGCTTCACCTTGCACAATCTTTACTCCTGGAAAACCACAAATTCTTTCCCCGCGAGCAAGCCGCAGTCCTGAATTCAACTTGCCTGTTTCTTGCTGTGTTTACCTTCATCCCCATAACTTACGTCACACGCTACAAAAAGAACCGCTGACATTCGTGTTCTGAGCCGACGTACCACAGTCAAATGTCGAGCCAATTATCACTAAAAACCCTTCGTTTTCTGGATGAAAACTGTCGTTCGAGGGAAAAAAAATGACGGAAATTTGTTCCATCATACATAAATGTACGATACACGGTGAAAAAAATTACATGAATTTGGACTTCAGTTCTCCTTTAATGCTGTTGGTAATTCTGACTGCATTAAATATGCCCGTCTGGCTAATCATGACAAACTTGAATAAAGCTGATTTCCAATATTCATTATTTGTATAAGATCATTTGCAGAGCTGATCCCTTGTGTGTCATTGTAAATCAAAGAACACAAACTCATTGCAACACATTGTTGTCCTGCATTCTGTCCAAAAACTAACTCGCTACCTTGACTACGGGAAGCTACTATTGTTTTGTTAGGGTCAACATAGGTTGGAGGGCTAGGATTTTTTTCAGTGTCTCTACTTAATTTACAGTTGCAATAATTTGCTGCATGAGCCTCATTCTAGCAAGAACACATCAGTTTGTTACAAGAAAACAATTCTAAATAACGACTGGCAGGATATTTTACCTTTCATATACATTGACGAATTCTTTCACGACGGTTAAAATTGAATGTTTTTTTATTGAATAGTTTTTTAGCGTTAACATAGCAGTATGATGTAGATGACATGGGGATACATGGGAGAATACGTACATAGACAAATTTTTCTAACCTTTCTGCTCTTGTTCCCTAACCTTTTCAAACTTGTTGGTAGTCTGCTTGGTTCACGATCACATCTACATACACGATGATAGTTGCGTCTATGCTTCTCTCGATTAACATTAGATAGCTCAGTTGATATAGTATGTTTCTCGATGAAAGGTTCACTCATAAATGTTCGCTCATAAAGAGATATATCATAAGGTTCACGGACCGACCCGTTCCGAAAACGCTCGACATATTTTAGTGTGGGTCTACCGCGAACGATATGAGCATATTTTGTATGCGTTTTGAGAGTCTTATACACAGTGTCTGTGCTGATTTTGCGCCGCGAAAGCTTCTCTTCGTCCGCCATTACACCATCCTGTGTGCTCATTAGTCAAAACGACGCGCATGCGTCAGACTCAAAAGGTTGCGCATGCGTGATGGGGACTTAACTGCGATTTGCGACTGAACGAAAAAAAAAAAGCGAAGCCGGAATTTCAACTCGGGCGTTTCCCTTGGAAAGCCCGAGTAACAAGGAGTTGCACTGAGTGCCCTCTTAGGCTTTCATCAAGCTAAATATTTATGGCAATCATCGCCGCTGAGATTCTCTGATGCCGAAAATGCGGTAGTTAGATAACGGCGTTATATGTGACTAACACAGTCTAGAGACTGTACGATTTTACGCCTGTATCTGCGTCGGTGCACATACTGTAACTAACGATGTAAAATGCTAGTAACTAACGGCGTACTTTCTTCTAGTCGGTGATGTATGTATGTAAGATTTTACGCCAGTAACTAACGGTGTAATTTCTTCCAGTCGGTGATATATATGTAAGATTTTACGCCAGTAACTAACGGCGTAATTTCTTCCAGTCGGTGATATATATGTAAGATCTTACGCTGAGGCAGTGGCGTAAAATTTTACAGTATATAGACTGTGTTAGCTACATATTACGCCGTTATATATATTCCCCATCAAGCTAAGAAAGAATGATCTAAACCAAGCTATAGGAGAGGATACATACAAATATTTGTTTAGAAAGACGTTGCAACTACGGTGGCGATGAATTAAACAATCTCTTTGATGCCCCTGACGATAGTGATAATGTGAACGGCTTTAAAAACAAAATTTTTGTTAGTGGGACTGCTACATGTAAACGCTAAGTCTAAAATGAGCAAGTTCAAAACATTTAGACACAAGAGAATAGTGCAAACTTATCAGCGTGTAGGACAGTTTGATTGTCTTGACTGTTTTTTTTAATTGCTTCATCAGGGTAAAGTATTGAGGTATAATATTATGATTTACGAGGTCAAAATGCGTTTCTGGCCAAAATCAATTCTATTTTGTCAAGGAGCCTGAAGTGTTTTGTCAGAATAAAATCATGATTGATTGTCACAAACTTTTCACAAGCCTATTTGGCTCAGTGCTTTTTGTTCCCCACATCTGGATTCCTTCCACCTCCCCTCCCCTGCCTCTTTTATCCCCTGGTACTCTTATCTCCTGCCCAAAGAAGTCTTAAACAAGGAAAATTGTGTTCCACTGCCTCCCTTTTTAGCTCATTCATGCTGAAAGCTAATATTATTACTAATATTTTGCTGCTAGAGCAACATTTGATGCCTGATTATGCTCACCCAGCTCACCCTCCGTCCCACAAACACACACGCACACTCTAGCAAAAAAAGACACTGACTACTTAATGACCTCAGCCCATCCCACCTCCAGCCCACGCAACCTTTTTTCCAATTCCCATGACGACGATTGCACAAGTTTTCTTTTCACACAGCTGTCCAAAAATAAAAGAAATTTTATTCCATAAGTTTTGAAAGTTCACATAAACAGAATTAAACCGTACCTATATTCAACAAGTCAAAGAAATCAATACAAACTTAAGCCATGACATGAATTAGCTGACTCGAAGAGCCCTTTGATTTCGTTTCGGTTTTATACGGGAAAGATTAGTAACAGCCCTTGCCTCTTATTATAATTAAAAAAAATGAGATAGTTATAATTTTTTTTTAGTAGTTTTCACTTTTTAAATCCAAGTGATTAGTGGCAAATTGTAGCTTGTGTCACAGTCTTAATTTTTTCCTTGTTAATTGATGCCATTCGCATTCTCATGTAAATGGATAACTTTAATGTGCCCCCTTCCCAGGAATAGAAATGTTATGGAGTAGTTGGAGCAGTTGATTAAATTGAATTAGAATTTTATCTATTAGTCTTCTTCACATTTGGTGCAGGAACCAATATTATTTGGATGAAGTGGCGGTTCAGATTTTGGGTTGAAATTTTAGTTTTGTTTGGAACGAAAATCAAAGCTTATTTGTTGTTTTGATCTCAGTGATAGTACATTTATCTCACTTTTTTTCCTTTACGGCATACATTTGTACCTATCCTATATGTGATCCTGCAACTGCAAGATTTAGTCAAGTATCTTAATGATGTGGCCTTTCTCTAGCAGACATGTTGTCTTGAGTGCATTTGTCATAATCTTGTTTTAAGGCGACCACTGTGTGACAAAATTTAATCCTTATTGAAAGACTGATTTTATTGTATAGAATCTGTTTGTCACATCTGAAGAGTGACTAAGAGTAGTATCATCCATAGATGTCTGTGGTAGGAGACATGACGGTAGAAGGAACATGTGGGTGGGGTTATGAAACCTTAATTTCACACAATGTTTTCACATACTTTTCAAACTAGGTCTTTTAGACATATAGGTGCAAAGCCATGTGAAGAGTTGCATGACGTGGACAAAGATCTTTGCAAGACCCCAATCAAAAATTTATTCCTTGAAGATCTTAGCAAAGATCTTGTTTGTTCTTGAGGATCTTGGAAAATCCTAACAAAGGACTTTGAAAGGATTTTAATGAGGATTGGAAAATCTTTATCTTTGCAGGCAATATTGTTTCACATGCAGAGTTTCACTCGTGCTGTTTAATAAAAATACCTTATTGAATTACAAATATGTTTAAAAATCATACAGCATTTGAAAGAGTGAGCCTTGAGTTTATCCTCTTTAAAAAGGGCCTCTTACAAACTGTAAGAAACCAATTTTGCTACAGTCGACCCTCCCTTTGAAACTACTTATTGAAAGAAACAACCTCTCATTAGTAACCTCTTTTTCAAAATGCCAAAGGTTCCAAGTCAAATCACTATAAGTGGAACCTTTCATAAGGGACCACCTCTCATAAGTGACCAATCCAAGAGATCCTTATTTTCAATATTCATTTGTTTGAACCTCTGGTAGGCAACCATCGAACAGACAATCTGATTTATCTCTCGCAAGTGGGAGTGTTACCCAAAATAGCTTTACCTCTTGACTGAAGTAACAAATGAGCCAAGTTTTAAGTTTCTCTCATGTGAATTGTCCCAAACGCCGCATTAAATAATTTCTGGGATACATCTTAATCATCATACATTCTAAGATATTTTTTCCCTTGAATAAGCTGCTGAAAGCTACTACTATAGCTTTCGAGAAGTGCTTACAAAATGTGCCGGTCACCATTTGTAAATTACTTGAAATATGTTCCCCCTCTCCATAACCGACCACCTAGACTTGCGTATTTCAGGTGGTTGATTACAGGAGGTTTGACTTTGTTAAAATCTATGTACTACATTTTTAAAGTTCAAAATCTATACATACAATATACCCAAAAATGGCTTTGAAATACAAAAAAAGTCAGACGAAGCAGACAATAAATTATATAATCAACTAATGTCCAACCATAATTTCACAAAAGGTTGTTGGGCAACTTGTTCCTTGATGATCCTCACAAAAAAGGAGTATTTGAAGGCATTCAAAGTTTTGCATATTTCGCACGAATCTTGAATGAATTTCTACAGTAAATCTAGTACTGCTATTGCTGTACTTGAAATAGTCATGAGAGTTAAAGTAAATTAATTTAATAACTGTCTTATAACATTTTACTAAAGGGAAGTACTCTCGTAAACACTCAAGTGTGCTCCAACCCAGTAATTTGCATCTCTCTTTGTATGACATCTGTTGTGGTTTTTGACCAAGAGCTATTGTTGATGCTCTTCATTATATGTTTTCAATGGCTAGATGTAGTTTTTCTTTAATCAAATAGAGTGACTGTACTGGACATGCATATTCTAGGAGAGGTCTTACTAGTGATCTATAAAGCTCTGAGGAGATTTCTCTGTTCCTTCTGCTAACTTTATGCTTCAGTAGGCCAAACATTTGTTCTTATTGTTTGCTGACACATCCAAGCAAATTGACCAGAATAAGTCTCTTGACATGATGACACATAGTTCCTTGTAGAAGTCTAAAGATTTTTATTGTACGTTTTACCGATGGTACTGATGTTTACTTTCATCCTGCTTGTGGGTGATTCTCTTAGCATCGCATTTTTGGGGTTGAAGTTAACTTGCCAACTCCTCCTTCAGTTATCAAAAGAGTCCAGGTCCTACTGCAGCACTGATATGTCATTGTCATAGCTTAGTTGGCAATAATGTTGTGTCATCTGTAAACTATTTAATAGCGGATGTAACGATGTTTTGTATTTTATTTTCGTAAATGAAGAACATGATGGTGCAACGACAGACCCTGAGACACTCTTGTTTTTTCAGTTGACCAGTTGGGTTACAGTGTAGACTCATTGTCTATTGCCTGCTCTTCAAAAAGTGTCTAAACTCAAACAATATGGAACCATCAATGCCATGTCGATTAAGTTTGGGTAGTAAGCACTCATTAGGTACTTGGGAACTAGTCAAGTTGCCTAAAAGTCATCTGGTTTATGTCATTTCACCCAAAATAAGACTCGTGTCAGCCATAATTTTTTGTTATGTCGCTCGAAGAAACAGTGATTTATAAAATCAGAATTAAAGACTGCAAGTTGGCAATAAAGTTAAGACATCTTTTTCACTTAAGCGGTTTTCATTTTGGACAACACCATGAAGACCTTGGCAACACAGAAAACAATCAGATGGACAGAATTGAAATGTGTTTGAGTAATGACTAAAGGTCACCCCACCTACCATGTAAACTTGATCAAAATAAAATAAGAAATTATAGGGAAAGGCGGGTTACCTCACCTACCTGAGGTCCCCCACCTCCATGTAAACAGACCCTAAAACAGAAGCAAGTATTAATTACGATATGGATACTTGGGAACCATGAATGCCTGCGATCAGAGGCCGATCGATTTAAAATTACAAAATCGATTTTATTTCGTGTTTATCGCAGAATTTGTGGAGCGATTGCCAACAATCTTTCCGGTCAATATAATATATAGATTTAGCCTAAAAGCGGAGCTTGCAATTTTTTTCCCGCACGTCTTAAGGGCACGACGCCTTGCCCGGCCAGGACTAGAACCCGGGTCGTCCGACTCAGAGCCCAGTGCACTGACCACTGGACTACTGGAAAAACCGTGGCGTTGGTGTGCCAGCGGTATATGAAGTACCTAATCGTTTGAAATTGAGCACCGCTGGGCAAAATGATCAATTTCGCATCCTTCGCCCAAAGGAACGCGATGCAACGATCCGTCTTTAGATCAAGCAGATCAGTGATCCGATGAATCTTTGTCTAGAGTGGATTTGATAGATCACTGGTCTGAAAATGGATTTGCTCGAAAGGAACGCCACAGATCAGAAATCCTGATCCGGATTCTCCCAAAGGAACGCACCCATAGTAGAAACGACGCGTTTCGAATGTCTACTTTATTTCCTTGCGAATCACGAAAGTGGTTCGGGGTCGATCGAAGGAAATAGAACGGTGAAAACTAAAGAAAAATAAATTAAATGACAAATGAAATTAAACGATGACTAAAAGGAAAGCTCAGGACCAAATTACTTACATTCTGTGCCACACGAAGTTGAAAAAGACGCTAAAAAAATTCAACGACGCTACGAACACGTGCGAGAAAACTCGTTTACATAGTGAATCTATGTAAACGGCACAAGGTGTTCTAAGGAAAGAAACCCCAAACAACGACGACAAAACAAAGAAAACAAAAATAATGTCACATGCTAGTTTCAGTCGCAACACAGTCTGCCACGCAAAATTCAATTTTGACAACTTTATCCTCAAGAAACAAAAATTTTATCAAGGTTGCCATCCCGTACCTTCTCATCAGGACAATTTTTGGAAGATCAGGGTGGACTGTGCTGTAAATTTTTCTCGTCATATATACTTTTAGTTTGCTTAGTTTCAAATCAAAAGTTTAAATCATCCTGATATAATGCTGGTGTAGCTGCATGAGATGATGTAGCTGCATGAGATGATGTAGCTGCACTAGTTAATCAGAGAAAAGGGGCAACATCTTTGCCAGAATTTGTCAGAGAACCAATGTTTACTTTCCTTTGTTCAGTTGCCATCTTGTGGAAGCTACCAGTGATGCATTGCTGTTGTAGTAAGACGCAAAATAGTGTGATATAGATGGTCATAATCACCATATTTGTCTTGTTACTTTTCACGCGAAACCAATCAAAACACAAGACTTTAAACATTCGCACCATGTGTAACAACAACACCTTTCCTGTGGTGTTAAGACAATCTTTGCAACCATGCTGTGCATTAGCAAGAGATAAAAAAGTAACACAAAAATAGAGGTCGCAGTGAATGTACTAAGCTTTCTCTGGACTTAAAGAAATTAATGACCCTTGGCTGGTAAGTGAAAAGAAAGAAAGTGTGTCATCAGGATCAACAAAAATGGGACATGATGTGGGATTTGAGAGTCACAACAATCTAACAATTTAATAAAGCTTAGATGTTTAGCAAGTGTGGACTTCCCTATCATGTAACCAAACTGATTTGGGTTTAAAAACGTGGTGTTCTGACCAGGAGGTTCTTTCTTTGTAAAATGTTAGTGGGTCATAAAGGGATAGGTATTAATTAAGCATATTGAGGATTCAGGAATTCAGAAGTTCCCATGGAGATAACGTGTCGGGAAACTATATTTAATCTAAGTGATTTCTCTATCGATCTATGTGATTAACTTTTCATATACAGCTGTATGCTGTACACTGTATATGGTGTCAGTAGGCGTGACTTGGTACATTTTACAGATTGAGTGAATTCATTGCATGAATTTGTTCCTCATCTGAAAATTTAAAACCATGTCAAACAAAGTTGTTGTCTTCTATTTCCCACAGTAAATTGTAGGTTTATTTAAAAAACTGAGGTCATAGCCATCTGACCCAGGGATGAGAGAAGGATATATTTAGATTCTAATATGTTTACAGACACAATTGAAAAGATGCCGTTTTCTCTCTATATCAATCATGTTAACTCAGGTTGAAACTCGGGTTGTCAAGGACGCAAAAAGTTTAAAGCTCAGCCAAGCATAGATGCCACCTAGAAGATGGACATTTGTAAAGCCAGAGAACGTTTTTCCTTTTCATTGTTCTTCTTCTGCTTCATGCTCAGCGATCAATTTAGACTGGAATACTAACAGAATGCGACTAACTTTTGCTTGTTTGCTCATACAATATTTCTTGTACATTCCATGTGATTTTCCCACTTTGTCACTTTGAATTTTATTTGCATGTGGAAGGCATGTGGAAAAGTGTTTTAATAACACTAAGAATTTTCATTCAAGTGTATTCATTTTTTTTCCAATGTGATTTTCTGCTCTTAGTTCCAGCAAACATCACTGAAATTAGAGGTGAACAAACTGTTCATGAAGGTGGCAACTTGCTGTTGACATGCGAAGCATCCGGTAAACCAGAACCAAACATCACCTGGACTAAAGAGAAGAGAGGGAACGAAGGAAATACTGGTGTGCTACCAGTAGGAAAGGTGCTGAATATTACAAAAATTAGCAGGAATGATTCAGGAACTTTCAACTGTACAGCATATAATGGTTTTGGTGAAGCAGATAGCCAAACAGTTCATGTGACTGTCACTTGTGAGTATGCCTTGAAAAAACTTTAATTTTAGTGCTAAACAGATAGGCACTTTCTATTTATCTTTTGTGTTGTAATGTGTGCTGTCATTTACTTGGATTGATGTGTGGCTTACATCCAGGTATTCAGAAGTTTTCACTTGCCTCTCTTAGCGTAAGCTAAGTGTGCTCCGACGCTATACTGCTCCATTGTTTGTACAAGCAAAAATAAGCTCAATTATTTGAAGTATCACCTCTATGGTTTTGGGGGTGTGAAAGGATGAGGACTAAAGATTTAAATTTGTAAAATTTCTCAGTTTAGTTGATGAATGTTAAGGTCATTTAAATTCACGGTATTTAACAACTGCATTGCTAAGTGGAGGTTGGGTACCTGAAACATCCAGGAGCTTCGACCATTGGCAGTCAGCTCCTAGATGGAGACTTCTCCCATAGCTGGCAAATCCTGGCAACCCAGACCTGAGTCCCCACACAAGAAAGGGAAACAGGCACCTGTCACACTGAATAAACAGTGGAAAGAGGCAGGGGAGGGGTAGGGAAAACTGCCTAGATGATGAGCTGGCACTCCTCATAATGCTGCTAGTTCACGCTCAAAGCACACGCAAGAACGGTTCAAAGGAAGAGCACGTGGAATTCTGATGCATGCGTGTATGTAAAACACCGCTGACTACTAGGGTACGCTGACAGTCTTTGGTGATAACTCCATTAAATTGCAGTTAACTGCATTTAACAACTGCATTGCTAAGTGGAGGTTGGGTGCCTGAAACATCCAGGAGCCTCCAGTATTGGCAGCCATATCCTAGATGGAGACTTCTCCCATGGCTGGTAAATCCTGGCAACCCAACCATGAGCCCCCACGCCAAGCCAAAGCAGCCCTGAGCTGAGCGCAATCAGCTCAGATAAATGGGGCTCATGGCAAATGCAGGTCATAGTGGAAGTGAGAGATCATGAGCATCACACCTGCTTTCAAGTTAGCTCTGCCACTGAGAGGATACTATCCACAGCAAACATGCCTTACCTAACCAGCACCCCATGGCCCCTACTAGGTGGCCAGGAATACCCCACTGGGCAGCTGTAGCTGCAGATCCAATTCCAAAGGTGTGACCAGAAAACTCTTTAAGAAAACCTGCTTCCCGCAGTGCAGACTGCAAGAACGACAACAGATGAGCCCACAAAAGTGGACAGCCATCCTGACAAATAAACAGGGAACCCACACTAGGCCCTCAAAGGAGAAGGTAGTTTGTAAAGCCTACCAGCTGTATGAGAGGCTATAAAGGCAAAGGAAACACGGGCCAGCAAGAAAGACAATTGGCGAAGAAAAACCAACATGCTTTTGAAGTGCCTGAACACAGGATGCTGACAACAGCCATATTGTCCAAACAGAATTCTATCTGTTTTGTGGCCCGTCAATGGCCCCATAATGTGGCCGAGATGACCACTGACAAGAGTTCCTTGCATGCAATTGACAACTGCTGTTTAAGAGCAGACAATTCCCCACAAACCACTCATGATCAGAGTGCGCTGTAACCCAGGGCTCTCGCTGTGTCCAGCTTCCTTCTCATACAGTGCTGTTTAGAAAACCAAGCACCTAACAACAATATGAAGCGCCAATATGAAGCCTAAACCTGCCCCACAGAAGACCAGCCTGAAGAGCAAGCCAACCCAGCCCAGCACCAGGCACTGTCAAGCAAACAGATGACCTTCTCAGTCTATCTTGGTTAAGGGGATACCCCAATCCTCAAATGCTGAATGCAAATGTCCAGACTGCTCCAGTAGACAGGTTAGCTGGGTTGAACCCAATTTGTGGAAGTTATCGAGGTAGTGTAAAAGAAACCCCACACCGTATCCATGCCCAAGAGCCCACCCCAGCGGTTCTGCAATAGAGGAGAAGATGAATAGGGCAGAGCCTAATCCAAAGGGAAGAACCAGATTGGTGAAATAATTGCCTTGCAACTTAATGCCAAGCAAACAATGATCATCAGAATGGAGACAGAGACAGTGCAATATGCATTCTCCAAATCAAACCTTGCCACAAGCACCCCAGCCACAAGACTTGACCTCGCCGATGACATTGTCCACTTTCATCTACTGCAAAGAGAAAGTCCCCCAAGGAATGCTGTCACTGATGCCATGTTCCAATCAGCAACATTGATCCAAGATAAGCTGTCACTTACCAGATTGGTGTTTCTTTGGGATCACTCCAAAGCGACTGACATGAAGGTGCGGAATTGGGGATATAAAGTAGGGGCCCGCGATGCAACCCCTCTCAAGCCTTGTGAGGAGATACACTCACTGAAGGCTGAAGTGATGCTGATGGCATATTCTGGGTTGCAAACTTCAACGATACCGCTGAAGGATCAAAACCAAGATGAAAACCAATAGTAATACCAGAAATCACAAATCCACTTTTCTTTGGTCAAGGTGAAAACAAAGTTCCTGCTGCAGTTTGTCTGCATCAAGGGGCGTAACTCTTGAAGAAGGGATTAAATCTTGCTGAACAGCACTAGTAATATATCGCCTAGTGATGGAGGAGGTAGGAGCCTCATTTACTCAAAATTGTCCGCAAAAAAGTGTGTCGGACGCCAAAGAAACAACAAAATTAGCTGAAAAAGAATAGGAACAGCGTGAAATTGAAACTGGACGAGACAACTGAACACTATTTACAACATTCTTTGGGTAAGGGGCATTGAGCGATCTAGAGACCACCTCAACGCCACCGACGTTCACCCCGCAATGACAGCCCACACAGCAGAGGCAGCACCAGCAGCGACCAAAGGGCCAGCAAAAGGTGCCATCATTCCTTGATCTGCGGAAATTGGATGCAAGTCGCCTGAGTTAAGGAATGGAGAAGATAGGGCTGATGGCTGGGATTGTAGTGCCAAAGGAGAATCAAAAGTATACAGTTTGAGGTCTATACAGTACCAGTCTGCCAGGCCTGATGCAGCTCAGTCCTTCTGAAAGGCAGTGTCATAGTGAAGCTAGGCCTTGCTGGGGAACTGACGTGAAGTCTTCAGAATGAAGAGCTTGAACTGCGTCATGTCCTGCCATCTAGAAGGATGTGTGCAGCCTGAAATCTACATGTAGACAGTGAATGCCTCCACCCATGTGACAATCCCTGTGATCTCTTGCATCCTTTTCTTTGATGAACTCACTAAAAGTTTCAAGATATGTTTGTCTTTAAGTTTTCGCCTAGTAGGTCGACCATATCAACAAATTGCCCTGACCTAATCTTGGTAACCAGCTTCTCTGGGATAGGAGAATAACCTGGGCCAACCACCAAAGGCCTGTTCAGAGAAGAAGGGATCCCAGCAAAACGGTAGATTGTGAACAGAACCGGCAGAGAACGCCAGCACAGAGGACTAGCTGATGGCGGGAAGCGCTCTGTTCGCTAAAAAAAGATGGCTAGGTTAAAGACAAAATGCCTAACGTGCAATATATATGTGGAAATGAACGATGGCACAACAAAATTACCTGAAAATATGCCTGCTCAGGATGGAGGAGAATTGATGGCAGAGGAGCCCGAAGATGTTGAGCTCAAGAAAATGTTTTCCGCCGACGTGTAATGCGACACTGAAGTACATGTAGTCATGGAGTGGCTTTACATGGCCGGCAAAATGTGAGGCAACAACTCGCCTAACGCTCGGGAAAAGGCTTGACTGAGATCCTGAGCAGGGAGCACCAAAGAAGGAGAGGTGACTGCAGGGGCTGAGGCAACCAAGATTTCTGTTAAGGAAGGAGGAGGATCCATAGAGGACGGGACCAATTAATTACTTTCGACGATTCCAGCATGGCAGTGACACTGTTATTTGTGGAACGCCCCAAAAGCCGATCCATATGAATGAAAACAGTAAACCAGCAGGAAAACAGACGATGCATAACAGTGCTTAACCCTTTCGAGACAAAAATGTACTGGGAAAAACAAAAACTGCCTGGACTCCTCACAACGCGGCAAGTTCACGCTCAAAGCACACGCATGAACGCCTCAAGCGAAGAGCATATGAAATTCTCACACGTGCACATGCAAAACATCGCTTTGTTGTTAACTCCATTTAGTTGCATTTAACTGCATTAAAAGCTCAGACAATTAAATAAACATACATTCATGAATGCAAGAGGATCACGTAATTGATGTTCAAATAGTAACAATTTTACTGGGCCCACATGCACTCACATGCTGTTGGAGAACTTTATGCAAACACATGTAAATCAATTCAGCTGCAGAACAACAGACTTGATGAACAATTACCTCTTGGATGTACTTTTAGCTATTGGTGACAATTTACTAAGTGAATATTTGTGTAGATGCTGTTTTTTAATCTGATTTTTATTTTCCAAACTGATGTACAGATCCACCCAAGATTGTTAAATTTAAAACTGAATATTTTGTTGGTGTACAAGAAAGGGTAACTCTTAAGTGTGAAGCAGAAGGAAACCCTCCATCTACGTACATTTGGATTCCATGCGATACAGAACAAGTTTGTGACAAGAATGCTCTTCACATTTCACAAGTCCTTAGTGACACCAACTATACCTGCAGAGTGGCCAATGTACATGGAAATGATTCAAAAACTGCCAATGTTTGTAAGTCACAAGTACATTGTAGTCATGCATTGAACAACTATATCTTCATACATGTACCAACATGACATTTTGATTGGGTTCTCAGAGTTGAACCAAGGGTTAGCCTGTCAGGTTGTTAAAGCTTTAATAGTGCCTTTACCTTGTCTTGATGGATAACTTTCTGTTTTCATAAACTAATTACAATGTACACGTACAATATTGATTATTTTGTTACACGTAAAGTGCAAAGAAAGTAGTGCAGTAATTAAACTTCAGATGGCTTGTACAGGGGTGAGTAGGGGAAAAACTATAGTTGGGGCTCCTGACAGCGTAAAGGGAAAGAAAAATTGTACTTGGAGGGATTTTGTTTTTGTTTTTTCGTCTTTATGTCATTATAAGTTGAAGTACTGAGGACCTACGTACTTTACAGTGTACGTCAATTTTATAATGCTTTCATTAAAGCAAGAGAAGCCAAGTGACACCTTGCTGCCTCTCTATATTTTCTTCAATGCCATGCACTTGAATTTGAAAGCAAAAGGTCACTTTAATATGAGCAACTGACTTTTCCCCTGAATTGTTTTGCTTCAGTATTAGAACTTTTTCAAAATTTTTGCCAGACTGTAGCTCTTGTTCACATAAATGAGAAATATGATGAGAAGTTGACCAGTGCCCAGGATCATGTAGGCAATGGCAGAAACCCCAGTTGTCCTTGTTACAAGCCACTCACTGAAAGCAACAGACTTCTCAATTGTCTCTGAGGTTAAATAACCTTAGAACTGGTCTAAAGTTTTCAAACGGAATACCTGTATCAATAAAAATATTGAGTAAATCTTGTAGTAATGATTTTTCTCCCACTTTACAGACATTGGAGGAAATGTGATCAACATAACTATTGTCAACATAAGTGAAATATGTACAGGTGGAAAATACAAATCATCCTTATTACTGGAGAAATTTGAAGAACTGGTAACTTTATGAACATATAACTTAGATATTGCTGTCAAAACTATTGAATAAAAATATACTAGTTTACATTGGAGGAATTTTTTTCCCACAAATAAACTGTCTGTGTTGAACTTCACCTGATCTGCTAAATTGTTAATTATAGTTGTCACTTAGTGTTGGTTACTTCAGGGTCAGAAACTGATGTGCTAGCTGTATAATGATTAAAAGGAAATTTGACTTGTAGAGAACGTGTGGAGAATATCTCATTTAATTTGACAGTGTTTCTTGAATTGTTAGATTGCTTTGTCAGTTTTCTGTCAAATCGTGAACTTTAAAAGCTTGTCACAGTCTTTTTATAAGTCAATGTTTGCTCATGGTCTGTATTTAGGGCAATAAGAGGCCTGGTGCTTTTTCTGCCAAATTAAAATAAGAGGCAAGTGACATGAAGAAGAGTAATTATTCATTGACGGGGCACTTTAAGAAACAACTGATTAACACTCGGAGACTGATTCTCAGCAAAACATCCATGTTCAATTTAATATCTGATATTTGACAGTGTTTTGGTGTCATCGTCATTTTTTCCTATGTGTGATACATGTACAGTATCATTTTAAGACAAATGATTGAACTGTTTACTTGTAGCTCAAGGACGCTTTTGCTGATAAATCTGGCTATGAAGGAGTGCAGTTGAAATGTGTTAGGTATGTGAATTAGTTGGATTTAGATGATTGCCAGTTGCTCCCGTTTCCAAATATTTTAATGTAGAAATGTTATTATTTGCTCTTATATTAGCTGTCTCCCATTTTATGTCACTCTAACCTTCCGTCAATGTCTGTTCCAAGGTGTGAAAGTAGAGTTGCTGTCCTTGCACTGCAATTTAACTCCTCTACAAAGGAGAGAGATGTTATCATAACACTTAATGACACTGTGAAAGATGGAAAGCTGGGAGAATTTAGTGTTGGTGCCATAAAAGGGGAAAGGCCTGATGTGAAAACAACATGTGAAGGAACCAAAACGCAACTTGACGATTCTACTGGGGGTAAGTCTTCATAACAATTCCTTTAAAATTTTTGCAAGCTGATAAATGAATGCCCCTGCCGTGTGCCTCATTGAAAGCATGTTGTTTAGTGTGAGAAATATGTTTTTGAAAGTAACCATTATAGTTCGTGCAGAATTGTTACTGTGGCAGGTTTTTACGGAGATCCGAAAGCGTGGTGTATAATAACAATAAACAAGGTTTACAAAAAGCAATTTTCATTAAGGCATTAAAATGAAAACAAGTTAAAATTAAAAGTTGTCAATAAATATTATCATAAAAACCTTAACTAGTATGGGGAAGATCATTTGGCTGTATAAATGTACAAAGCGCTGAGTTGAACTCAGCCAGGACATTTGAGAACAAATCTGGCAGTAAGTAGCAGGTTGGAGGCTTTGAACCCAGAAACACTAGATTACAAGATCAGCGCTCTAACCAGTCTGGTACTCTGCCTCCTTAAAAGGACCTGCCAACAGAAAGTTATGGTCATGCTGACTGGGGGGGGGGACTGTACATGTATTTGGAAATCAATTTTACCTTTATTTATCCTATATTGACATTGATATTAATTTCTTTATCTTCATTAAACACCAGGGGATTTCCCTCTTACATGGAAACTAGGTGTACTCACAGTAGCATTTGGTGACCTGCCTGTTACATTGCTGGAGTTTGAAATGTCCCAAAGTTCTAACGAAAAGGATGAAATATACTTTTCCTTTTGTAAGCAGAGCCAAATTTCAAAACAAATTACGATTCCAGACTAACATTAATCAATGGAAGTAAATATATACCTACCCCATTTCAGCCAAAAGAGCAAAAACAAATTTTTCTTAGTTGAGAAAAGCAAACTATCTGGTTCTGTCTATGAGAAGGAGATGGACAGTGTGCATAAAGTGGTTATTGCATTTGTGCTTATGGGGGAAAAAGCAATTGTAAAACACTAGTGATAACCTTTTTTAATCAATAAGGCACAATTACTCGTTACAATCACACTTGAAGCTCATTCATGGATTCAGTTATCTCGAGATCGAAAAATCGATTTACTCTTATGACCCAATTGCTGCCATCACTTTGCCAACTTCTGCTTCATTTGCATAAAGGAAGATTAATGTCCGTCCATCCCACTACCATAGTTAAAGTAGCTTTAGAGCGTACGAACAGTTTATTTGAATTATTAAATAAAGTAACAGGTGTAGATCATTCATATAATGGGATATTTAGAACAAATATGAACAGCCTCCAATAGAAACATTTCATACTAATCTAATCCTTAAGTTCGTGGACAATATTTTCTATAGATTCTCAAAGGAGATTAACATGTCAAATACTTTCCCAAAAAATCCTGTTTATGTTTCTTCATTTCCATGTTTCAACAAAAGGAGACCAACCACACCTAATTAGTGAACCATATTTCTTAAAAGCAGGTGTGGTCGATCTCCTTTTTTTGAAACATGGAAATGAAGAAACTTAAACAGGTTTTTTTGGGAAAGTATTTCACATGTTAATCTCCTTTGTGAATCTATAGAAAATTTTATCAATTTTTATGAAATCTCTGTATATTCAAATTATATTTTGCACAAAATATCTACAAGTTCACCACAGTGTCACTTTGATTTAATTTCGTGACAGCATTTGGCTCTCATTTTCACTGTGCGTATACTCTTAAACCATTTACTCGAAATGTATTTAAAACGTATGAAGCAAAAGAAACAACGTAATCATAATTGAAAGGATAACTTTTTATGCGAGAAAAATCTATTCACAAATTTGTAGAGTTGAGCACCTTAACTGTTAGTTCTTAGTACAAGTAATACCTGCATTTTCAAAAATGTGTCGATATTTCGTTTTGTCAATGCCTCTGAATAGCTTGCAACTGTGCTGGCCAAGGCAGTGACCCGTATTAGTTTATATGGAAAGGTTATCGGGAGGTAAACTGAGGCTTTGTACGAAAGAGATGGTTGAAACGGCCAGCAAGAGTTCGCGGCAGCACCTTTTTTAATTGTGAATACTAATTTATAACTTTATTTGTTCCTGAGCCAAAATTACATCTGCTGTTATGAAAATTATAACAAAGAAGGTCACTTTGCTCTTTTTCTAACCGAGCGTTACAGTTTTCAGTGCTGAAAAATGTTTTGCTTATTTTTTCCACAAGGAATAAGACATAAGACTTCACACAAAGTGTAACATATATTTTGACTCAAAACTCTTGGGAGAGAGAACGCAAACAAATCCTGAACTGTCTGTGTTATTGCTCCTTAGCCTCACTAGCGAACCGCTAACATCTTTACAACAGTGAGAGGGTAGCTGTTTAGTAAAATCGCTTCTACAGTTAGTTTTCCATACTATCTTCTTTTTATTTGTCTGTTTCACCATGTACATATATGTGTATATTTAGACGTGTTTTTCTTTTAATTCCTTTTGAATGCGAATGAACAGTTTTTTTTAACGGTAACATTTTGAAAACCTTATCGTAGCATTTAGGTGACAGTCATTTGACCCTGTACGGAACTGGGTTATGCCTCAATGGGACTTCCAAAACTAATATGAACAATTTCGTAAGGAAATGTTAACCACAGTTCACTCATGATTTCATTGAAATATCACCTGTCCAAACATAGTGATAGAAAGCGTAGCTTCTTGGTCGTCAATTATACTTAGCTGTAGTTGTCCTGAATCATTGACGGTTTGTGTCTTGTAGGGATCGCTTGGTGGATCATTTTGATCATTGTGTTGGCGGTAGTAATCGTTCTAGTTTTACTGGTCATACTTCTTAAAAAGACAGGCAGATGCCCTCCTCTTTCTGTTAAAAATGGAAAGCATCCAAGGGGTGAGTATTTTCCATTTTAATCTATCTTTTGAATGTACACCAACTTTAATCGATTTTGTAGTTAGGGTGTCAGGGATAATGAAATGTTTGTGTGGCGTGTTCTAAGTTTATTTTCTCAATGAACATAATTTTCTTTCAAATTATGGACCATGAAGTATTCATATACACTGTACATCCCAACTAGTCAGAGATGTGGTCATATGGAGACTGAAGTCTGTTGACACGAAACTTATTTCTTCTGGGATCATTACATTACCGAGCTTAAAATTTATCATCTTTCTTACAATGGTAACTCACTTGACGCTCTCAAAATCGCCTACCGTAGTAGTCTGCGGAACGTGTATGAACATATGAACCTAGTGATGGCTTTGTTCACCGTCTCAGGTTCGGTTCCTCATATGTTTTCACTGTTGTCTTCCTTTTCGTTTCTTTTTTCGTTTAATTTGTTATAAATAGGCACTTTTTATTTTTGAAACTACAAATTGCACACGCCCTACAAGCTCCCGACATTTTGTCATTCTGAAAAATTTACTCGTGCTTATTGCATATGTTTTTCATGGTGACCAAAGGCCAGGAAATGGTCAGGGAAAAAAGAAGTGAAGAAAAGTCAGGAAAACTTTATTTTGTCAGAGAAATTGTACGTCTTTGAGAGATGTCATAGAAAAGTGAAATCCCAAGTGAAAGAAACTCATTCAACTTGTCTTGACCTCTTCTATAGGAAAGATGACAACGCCCAACATTTTGCGATGTCAATGTTACACGTGAATATTGTTCAGTATATTTGATAGACCTTAGTAAGCATACTGTTTCCCTTGTAATGCAAGCTTGAGTTGGTTTGGGAATGAAATTGTTCACCTACCTCTTTCTATTTTCACAATTTTTTAACATTCAAAAAGTATTTGGTGCAATTCATCCAACATGAAACATGTTGTTTTGGAAGGATATTTTTATTCCTTGCACGACAACTGGCTGATGTTGGGTTTCCAAGAAAATCAATGTCTTTTTTTGGAATTACCAATTCACATACACTGCATGTGATTAGCTGAAAACAAAGAAAATGAATTCGTGGGGAGGGTCGCTGTAAGGCGAGGTTGGAGACCATTCTTAGGACGTATATTTTATTAGAATTGTGAGTTCAGTTGGTCGGAAATTTCATATTTGTGAGGGATTTTCAAATACGTATAACTGTATGTCGCTTCTTTTTTTCTTTTCTTTTCTTTTTTTGCACGCTACTGTAAGAAGTCCATTCCGATGAAGGACGAGGCATAGCGACGTAAGTGTTGTTTAATGGCTGTTTTTTTTCTGTTACTAAGGAGTCAATTAAGTCTTTGTTTTTGTTTGTTGACACTTCCACCGGTTGTTTGATTGTTTCGCTTTACGTATATTTATTCAGCTTTGTTTCTGATTTCTTTGAATGCGAATAAACATTTTTTTTTCCTTTTAAAAACCTTATATAAGAGTTAAGGTAGCAGAGGGTTTCAATTTAAAGAAAAGTCATCGTACATTGTAGGGAAGCGGACAACCAGTATGCAGCTGCGGGTCCTAATGTCAACTATCGAGCCTCCAATCCATCGTCTGAGCCTTCAGTGACTTATGAAGTTGCTAATAGGAGTTCTGAGGGAAGAAGAGGGAATAAAGCAGGTGCACCGAAAGAGCCACTCCCAGAATATGCAGTGGTCGATAAAACCAAGAAGAAAAAGAAGGTAAGGTTCCGCAATGAAGGAACTCTAGTAAACGGATCTTACCTTTTGATTGTGACCAGATCCCAGTAAAGTTTATTTCATAACCGAATGATCAAACACCTGTGTCACTTTTCTCTGTACCATAATTTATACGTATTCAAGACTACATTCCGCTGGTAAAGAAGTTAAGATGCAAAAGTCGATACTCCATAGACTGTAAGGAGTGGTGCGGACTTCTTGTAGAGCGTGTCTGTACGAGAGAAAGGAAGCACTATAAAAATACTTCCACCAAGCCATTTACTGATAAAAGGAACGATAAGGAAATTTAAACGTTTAAATTTTGCAATTGTTTAAGTCAGTTACCATGGAAAACCAAGGCGTGGTGCCATTGTTGTGGTTAAAAGTTCAAGCTTAACAACGGGCATTGATGTTTAATGTCAGTTAGACAGCTTTCGTTACCATGCCTACTCCAAATCATTTTCCGCCCACAAGGATACACACCTATTCGTAGTCCTCCGCTTTGCTCAGACGGAGGGCTAACGTTCCAAACGTGAGCTTTTCTAAATTTACTATCGCGGCTTATCAACATTTGTCAACCATTAGTTGATATCAAACCAGCTAAGTGGACTCTGCTTGTTCGCGTACATGAACCCACCGACCGAAAAAAAAGGAAAAAACCCAATTAGGCTTTCCAGCGAGTCTCCTCCTTTTGGACACTTGCATCATTCCAAAAGTTAATTTATTTTTGATGAACCGTTGTTAGAAGAATGCTTACGATTGTCTGTTTCGTCCAATTACAACCTGTTTTTCTTTGTATCGCGGGCAGACACCTAAACCTGGCGAGCTTCAGTATGCTGAGCTTGGTGAACTGACTGGTCGTGGGCAGAAGGCAACAATGCCACGTGTTAGTGGTACGGATACTGTGTATGCGGACATTAAATCTTAGAGGATGTGTGCAGCTACTGTACAGCTCAGAGATACTGAGCCCTAAATGCGCGTTGAAAAAGCGCGCACACGCGTGTAGTTTTTTCAAACGCACTCAAAAAACGCGCGCGAAATAAGCTCATTAGTATGTATGAAGCAGTCTTTTGTTTTACCCTTTGTTTAATTTTATATTAATGTAGGAGATAAGTTGATTAGCTACCAATTTTTCAATTGCTTTGCTAATAAATGAAAGATTCGATACAGGACGATAATTGCAGAATTGAGTATGATCCAAAGAAGATTTCTTAAGGAGCGGGCGTAACATTGCAACCTTGAGTTGCGAAGGCATCTGACCAGATTCCAATGAGATATTTATGATTTTGGAAATGAAATGCAACAGAACACTAAGTGCATTTCTTGTAACATAACCAGAAAGAGGATCAAGAGCACATGACTTAGCAGCCAGATTCATGATACATTTATGAACTTCATCCGCTGTTACCATTTTGAAAGTATCAAAAGAATATGGACAGGCGTTGTCAACAACAACAACTGTATCTCGATGAGAGAAAGCAGCAGACGTTATATTACCCCGTATTCTATCTATCTTTGTAGTGAAGTACTTAATAAACTTGTTAGCAAGATCAGTGGGCGATTTGCAGGGGGATATTGAATATCTGTTTTCCTTTGTAGTAGTTTATCAATTATCTTAAAAAAGCTGTTTATAATTTGACTGATTCTCATTGATTAATGATGCGAAATAATTCTTCTTGGAATCACGAATTAAGTTGTTGACAGCATCACATCCCTCAATAAACAACTTACGATCAGAAGGAAGTTTGGTCATTCGCCAGCGTCGTTCAAGTTTTCTACGGATCTCTTTAAATTATTTATCTCCTCAGAATACCAAGGTGCAGCGGGACGCAAAGTAACTAACTTTTTTTGCAGTGGAGCATGAGTCTCAAGTATGGTAGTAAGGACTCTGTTATATTGATCAATCAAATAATCCAAGGATGACGATGACGAGGCAAAAAGATCAGGAAGGCTCGAATTCATAACATCAGCACAGAAATTATCAAAATCAATAGATCGAAGCTTTCTGAATGAAATAATCTTCTTGTCGAGCGGCGGCTTATTAAGCGAGAGCTGGAAGTGAACAGCAGCATGATCAGAGATGACAAAAGGAGAACCAATTGTTAAATTCGAAACAATTCTATCATCAGATCTTGTAATCACAAGATCTAAGGTGTGTCGATCTTTATGCGTTGAGCCATGTGTATGTTGAGTAAGATTGAAAGAATCCAACAATTGAAGAAATTCAGTTGAGTGTTGGGAAGAACAGGTGTCAACATGTATATTAAAATCACCAACTAATAATATTCCCTCAGGATCAGCGATATAGTGCTCCAGGAACGTAGAAAACTCATCAAGGAACAATGAGGGTGTTAAACCATTCAAGGTCGAGGGAGGTGGGCGATAAACAATAATAACTCTGAGTTTTAAACCGACTGTACTTGACAATAACAAATCCATATATTCAAAGGACAAAAACTTCTTGAGCGGCTGCAACTTTAAGTTGAAAGATGATCGAAATAACAAGCCAACTCCTCCTCCACGAGTAGAACCAGGTCGAGGAACATGATGTCGTTGCAATTCCCTTTTGTATGGCCTACCAGCCTACGCTATAAAAAGGCTACAACACGTCCAGAATGCCGCGGCGCGCCTCGTCACACTTACAAAAAATCATGATCACATTACGCCTGTTCTTTTCAATCTTCATTGGCTTCCCGTTAACCAACGTATTATTTTTAAGATTTTACTTATAACCTACAAGGCACTTAACAACTTGGCACCGTCGTACATTTGTGATCTGCTAACATCTTACACCCCATCGCGTCAACTACGCTCATCATTCAAGCACCTTCTGGTTTCTCCATCCTATAACTTGAAAACATATGGCGCAAGATCCTTCTCTGTAGCAGCACCATCATTATGGAATGCTTTGCCAAGTGAAATTAGAAATGCTCAGTCTGTTTCTGTTTTTAAACGTAGATTAAAAACTTTACTCTTTAGAAAAGCCTTTTATAATTAATATTAGCTGTCTTAAGTGTTAATGTTTAAGCTTTTTTGTTGGCGCCGTTGAACAGTAGGATACTGGCGTGGTATAAATCTTTTATTATTATTATTATTATTATTATTATTATTATTATTATTTATAATTAATATTAGCTGTCTTAAGTGTTCAAGTTTTTTTTTTGTAGGCGCCTTTGAACAGTAGGATACTGGCGCGGTATAAATCTTTTATTATTATTATTATTATTATTATTATATTACTGAAAACATTGCGTTTTAGCTTGTATTTAGCATTTTAGCACAGATTCCAGCGCTCTTTCACGGGTGATCTTTCTTTCACATTTTAAGAACTTTCAATATTAACTGGGTCCAATTCATTATGGTACCATTGGAAATATCATCCCAAAGGGTTGCGAATTGCTCTGGTGATTGACATTTTGTAACAATGACTTTGCTTAAGAGTTCGACTTTGCTTAACAATTACACTGCTCAAGACATCCAGAATTTGTCCAGTGTCCATGCTGATGGCAGTGACACAACCATTTAAAAAGGAAAAACCTCTTCTTTGCCAGGTGCCATCACAAGATACACCACACTTTACTAATCCATCTTGAAATGCTGGTTGTAAGCAGTGGATTTTTTTCTGCGGCACTGGTCATTGTTTCCATCGCAACTGCTTTTGCTGTCTTGAGCAACGCCTTGCATTGTGAAAGGCATGCAGTGTTTACCTTGGAGGTTGAGGCATGTTCGTTAGCTGGAAAAATCGTTTGGCTGCTGCGAGTCTACAGCCAATTTATCACATGCCATAAACAAGTCTGCTGTTGACTTCAAAACATCGCTGATTAGGGACTTTGAGATACGTGATAGAGTCCTTGACCCAGCCACACGAGACACGAAACAAGCGAAGATGGTTGGCACATCCTTTCCGTTTAAGAGTTTGCTCTTCCAAAATCAAACTGCATTCAGAGCACTCCTTACATTTCAGCAAGTTCGCACTGGATATTCTAAAAAGCGTAGATTTCATGGAAATCAGCATTCAAAGAAGAAGCCAAGGCGATGGGATTCCTTCGACTGCAGACACAGAAACCAGAAACTCAGCCTTTGCTTGCAAAATTCCGCTCCGCAAGCAGTCCGAATCGTCTAATCGTGAAGTACCAAGTACAGATCCATTCATTACTGGCTTTCGTTTAGACGACATGGAAATATTGAACTTTGTATTGAGAATTTTACCGTGTATGGAGAACTTTGCTTGTTTTGTGTCTCGTGTGGTTCATGCAGTCATTCATTCATTCATAATCTTTATTTAAGTGTCTAATCGTTCTAGTGCCTATTGGCACTAATTGGGGACACCAATAACCCACCCAACCCAACCCAGGGGAGGACATCTATCACACAGTAATCTCGTGCGTGGGAAATTAACGTCTCCTACCCCAAACCCTGCAGGAGACGGTTTTACATCTTATCCGAGAAGACGAAGCAATGTGAGTGAAGCGACTTGCTTAAGGCCACAACGTGGTGCCCCATTCAGGACTCGAACCCGGGCCGTCCGACCCAGAGTCCAGCGCTCTGACCACTGGGCCACTCACGCCTGGTTGGGTGGAGGACTTTATCACGTCTCTCAAATTCCCTAATCCGCGATTTTCTGAAGTCAACAGGAGACTTTTTTATGGCATGCGATCAATTGGACACTGTGGACATTTCAGATAACAGGAAAATGGTTTAGTTCAGTCGTACTTTTACATTCACACGTACGATTCAAGTAAACGAATCAAATTCGAACGGTTCGAACAGTAGCGGCGGTCTTGCCTACTTGTAAACAAATATGTCTTTAGCTTGACGTTAACCACAAACGGCAGAATGGAATCTGATTTTCTTCACTTATCCTCTGAACCTCAAATCATCCATGAAAAACATTAGGAAAATGTCTTCTGTTCCAGGAAACTGCAAATAATTTCACATAACTTTATTGACGATTGAATGCAAACGATTCAAGTTTTGCTGCTAGCCGCTAACCTTAACCTTTTACGATAACGCCTTTATTGAACTTGATCTTCCCTGATCTTGTTCGCTGTCTAAAGAGGTACCCAGCGGGTCAAATACTTTTTCCTTTTTCTTCACCATGCAGGCAAGCCATTTCGAGAAAAAAAACTACGTAATGTCACCAACATCGGAATCCCTCTTTTATTATAAATTTAACACACCATTCAAAGTTAAAAAGGGGTAAAACAAAAGACTGCTTCATACGTACTAATAAGCTTCTTTCGCGCGCGTCTTTCGAGTGTTTGAAAAAGTTGCACGCGTGTGCGCGCTTTGTTCTGACGCGTTTTTCGCGTGCATTTATGGCCAAGTACCTCTAAGCTGTACTGTATATGTGATATTGTTCTTAAGTGCCTGTTCCTTCAGATGCTATCAAAACTGCTAAATGTTTTCCCATTGACGGCACAATAACATTTTTTCGTGATGTTCATAGCTTTCTAAGCTTGACAGTAAATCATTTTTGTATAATTTGGTAAAGTGGAATGTACTTCAGCAGTTTTGTGTGTACAGCTGGTTTAACTTGATCAGCGAGCTTTCAGTTTCCCTTTAATTAGCTGTTTAGCCCATAAAAAGGTTAGAATAGATATTCTAGCGGAACCTCTAGCAGCTTAAAAGTATATTTTCCTAATAATCACAAAATGGTGCTACTTAGTGGCTAAGCCATTGATTTTCACATTATTTTAAACATCCCACAATTTATCCAATAATTTGTTGGGTGAGTAAATTTTCAAACAAGTAAATTTTATAAAATACCGCAGTTTAGAAGAAAATTCTTAATATCCGATTCGAGATGTGCAAGGATGTGTGGTGAGTCCAATGTGATGGCCCTCTTTCCATGTCTTTCTTTCTTGGTGAAATTGGAGCAGATCGGAGATATAAACGAGCGTCTCTAATGTGAAGGTTATTTGCTTTAATTTGGGAATTCGTGAAAAGACCATTTTAGTGAAAGATCTGGGAAATTTCGTGTGGGTTTGTCTTTTGAGGCACTTTTTTGGTTATGTTTCCTCGTTCAAGTAATCTCTAAAGATTTCAGCGCTATTTTTAGTCAAGTGTAGAATCATTATTTGTTGATCTTTTTTTTTATATGAGGATGTTTGGAGTTTAGTATCATTATATAGTCTCGCGTAAGAGCATAATACTTTTGGAAATTTTGCACTTGGCATATTTTTCTTTGTGATTGTGATTTGTCTTTCCATTTTTCTTGATTAATCGTAATGTGAATTTTCCTCGATAAATTAAGCGTAATTCCTCTTTGATTTTTTTTTTATTATAATTGTATAGTATGGGTGTATCTTCTTTCTCAAATGTTTAAATGCTAGAAGAACTGAAAAAACCTTTACTATTGATTTTGCCATCAGGGAAATTAAGAAGGAATTAATTGATATGCTTAGACCTTTCTTTTTTGTAGTGTTGAATTATTCGATTGGTAGTTTTTTTCCACTCCTAACAGTTCTAAGTATATGCTGTGTTTAATGGTGCAAATATCACCAAAATAATGAGTATAACTAGTGATTACACAGCAGATGATTGTAGTCAAATCACGTGATTGAAAATTTGAATCAGTTCCTAGTTTTAGGACACGTTTGTAGGTGCTTGCACGGCACATTGAACATATGAGAGATCTTTTCTCGATTTATTGCATTCAATTACTGTAGAAGTGTCTTTTTGATCATAGCAAATCTTTTTAACGAGTTCTTGTTACGAAGGATTATGATGATAAAAAAAAATGTTAAATCATTGTATTCTATGAAGTTGTAGCTAATTTTAAGGTAATAATTTTTTTATATTCATGAAAAGTTTAGATTTCAGTAGATTTACTGCTATATTGTAGCCACGTCAGTAAGTTTTTATCAGTTTCAAACTGCATGGCATTGTACCAGCCAAGCAGTGCCTATCGAGTGTTACCTGGAGTAAGAACATCGCGCAGCCTGCCTATTGTTTTCGAGAAATTTACTTCCAGATTATAGATCTGTGATAATTTTGGCGAAACTTGACCTGGAGAGAGCTCTTATCGTTCAAAGATTACGTGCGTTTCCCTTCCCGATCCTTTGAAAGATACAATTCGGATTAAATTAAAATCCAAACCGGTGATCATCTGTTGTTCAGAGGGAGGTTCTTACTCAGGAATTACGAGATATGGTAGCCTATTAGCTGCTTCACTTTATTCAGATATACTGGAAACCGTTTTTATTAATAACCTTATTAACATTAACTAACTACAGGCATAATAATTGCATTTATATTTACTGCAAACAGTTCTAATCAGTGCGAGACAGTTGCCCTTAACTTTCTATTTTGCTGTCCATCTATGGAGAGGCGAGGTCGTTCCATTTGTAATAGTGACGCGACTCTCTCTGCAACGTCCTTTAGAAATGGGTATTTGTCACGCTGATACTGAAGTGCTATCAATTATAGCTTCTATCTTGTGTAGAATTTCTGCTTAATAAATGCTGATAAAATCAATTTGGTTGATTTTGTTTGGTGTTTTAAATAATCATTTGAAAGCGAAGGATACAGGTGCGCCGTGAAAAATTGCAACTTCGAAAGTTGTTTACAAATTTCCTTTACAAGAGAGGTGCTTAAATAAAGAGTCGACACAATATGTTAAGTTACAGCAAACAGAAAGCGGGATAATCATAGGTAAATTGACGACTTAAAAGGAAAGTCTACACGACGAAATCGTTGACGTTTGCGTTGAGCTGCCTGTCATAAATTTTGATGTCGATGAATTTCTGCAAAGGAAGCAACAATTTGCTTTAGAGGATGATGACAATGGATGATATCAAATTTATTACAGAGGGGACAACATTTAATTGTGAGTAACAAAAGGTCTTAAAACAACTTCTCAGAAAACAAGTGGTCATTTTGTTTTCAAACTTTTGTTGCCTCAAATTGATTAACCCTTTGCACCCTGAGATCATTTTGCATCTTCTCTATTCTATTCTCTATAAATTTCCAATTGCACTTGAAGGAGAATTTGTTCAACAATCTATGGGTGTTTAACT